CACAGTATAACTGAATCTATCTGTCAGTGTCTCTCTCAGTTTTAAGACGCATCTTTTTTTCCTATCGTATTGAATAATTATCCTGATATTTTGAATTGGCCCTTATTAAATTACTGTTGATTATGCATGAAGTTCTCTCTGTGTACAAACTGTTCTTGACATTTTGCTCCAATTCAAGGGTTTAAGGGCAGACGGTAAAGAACTGGGTGTAGGCAGATTTCCCTTTTTGTTGCAAAGAACATGTGATATTGCGGATCCATAAAAAAATAAATAAATCTGAAGACTTTAAATTAGTACATTTCTTTTAAGCTTTTGTTTCCTTATGTTCTGGACCAAAGTGGACACTAGCAGTTACCTGGATATGTTTAATAAAATGAAGCAAAGTGCAGGCGCCTGGCCTGGGAGGTTTGAACCCTGCTTTAGTCACACTGTAATCATACTCCAGATCCCTCTGCCTATATCAGGGGTGGGCAATTAATTTCTATAGGGGAGGCCACATGAAAAATCTAAACTGTGTTCAGGGGCCGAACCAACTTTACTTAAAAATAAAATGAAACAGTGATGTTATGATTGTTTTTATTTTAAACTTGTTAATCTTCACAAATACTAAAGAGGTTTTTTGTGGTATGTTAAAGATAAGGAACTGATCAACTTTAGACAAAAAGCTATAAATAGTTTTGATTTTCAAACTGTCCGCGGGCCGGACAGGAGCGGCTCACGGGCCGTATGTGGCCCTCGGGCCGCACTTTGCCCAGGTCTGGCCTACATGCTAGGTATCTGTATTGTGGGGGTAGGATGATAGGGAGGTCCCAGAGAAATGTCTTCTGTAGCAATACAGAATGTCAGGAAACGAAAGCACCATACAGAATTTGGTCCAACCATTTTAATAATTCCTTGTTAATAATTCATTTTTTAGTAACTAAGTTAGAATTGCATTGCAAATGCAACTTTTAAAAATGTAACAATTTCACATTTTCTGCACTTTAACTGTTGCTTTTTTTAGTTACAGAGATACAGTCACACTAGACAAGAAATACCATATTGTTCCAAGTGCTTCTTGGTATAGTGCCTTTTACTCCTGCGTTCAGATTGTTTTTTTGAAAAGGAACTTTTGTTGCATTTGAGAAACAGGAAAGCAAAGGGAGGCTAAAAAGTTTCAGCTATATGCTTTATGTGATCTTATACCATCAGTCTTACACGAATGCACTGCATGAGTCATTTTGGTGTGTATGCTTATTTTCTCCATCAGCTGTTTTACAGTTCATCCCAGTCTTTAGTACTGGGGTGAGTTTCACACTACCTTGCTTCATTTGCCAAAAATGCAAATTGTTTTTGTGATTCACTGGATCAAAATTTCTCCCCCCCCCTTTTTTTCAAATTACCCATTTAGTCGACAGGTTGTAAGGCTGTATAAAATCACTAAGCATCAGCACAGAACTTGGAAGAGATGAGTCTTCACACACATATAGAAGGCAGGAAGAATGGAAACTGTAACTCTGAGAGGAATGCACAATCCACAGGGTGGAAGCCATCCAGGAGAAATCCTTCTCTTGCAAGCCTTTCAGGTGGACCTCCACAGTTGACAGTATTTTCTAAAGGGCATCTCCTGAACGTTTTAACAGCAGAAGAGATTTGCTTTACATTTTATGTCTCTTTCTTGCTGATACTCTTCACTGTTGAGAGTGCATACCTTGCAAATGTGGTAAAAGTAAAAATTCTCAGAGGTTGAAAGAGATGGCACTCCTTTGGATTTTAGCCCTTTTCCATTTCTCTGGTGCAATCCTGTTGGTTTATTGTCAAATACAGTGATACGCGTTGGGTAACATGCTTGCAACTCATATTTTCTGTTGAAGGAAAATAACTATCTTGCAATTATGCCTTTGTTTAGACTTGCTCTCCACTCCCATACATACCCTCTGGAAAGAGATTGGCAATCTGTCTTCATAGAGCCTAACAATCTACTTTTAAAACACTGCTTTTAAAGAAGTGCTAAGTGTTTAGATCACTGGCTTTTGACTGAAAAGTCTGCATTCAAATCTTCACACAGCCACAAAGCTTCCTTTAAGCCCTATTTTGAACTCAGTCTACTTTTGAAAGTAAAGTTGGAATAAAAGAGTTCTGGTTGGTGCTAAAGAGAACTCTTTTATTGACTGCTCATAAATGATACAACTTCCATGAACCCCACTGCAACTTGCCTGTACCCTCCTTGTTATGACCTGGTTCCTGTATTTCTTACTGTCTCTGCTTTTGCAATGAGTGGACTCTTTGAGTTTATTTTTTACCTTTTAGCCAAGTATTTTTGCGGACTATGTTGTTGGTAGGTTTTATTGCCTACAATTACTGATATAGAGTATTGTATTATTTTGTACAGTATACTGTATTGTTTTTGTGTTGTGCCTCATTCTGGATCTCTTTGGAGAAAAGAATGGCATATAGAAAGAAAGAAAGTTAGTTCTTCATTTACCTATTTGTTTTATTTGCTTAATATGCTGTGATCTCTTTTTTCGTCTGTGAACTTACAGATTTCTTCTTAAATTTCTATACTATTATTGACAACAGGCGAATTAGTTAACTTTAGCATTGATAGAAGAAATCAAAGTTAAAAGATTTTCTGTAACATGGATAATTTTAATCTGATCATCAATCAAGATGGAGACTGCAGCCAAGAAATCAGAAGAAGACTGGCAATTGGAATGGGAACAATGATGAAACTAGAAGAAATGCTTAAGCATGAGGATGTGTTGCTAGAGATCAAGGCCAAAATAATCCATATTATAATCCATATTAACCCAAATACAATATGTGAATATAAAAGCTCAACAGTGAAAAAACTGGCAAGAACTATATCAATTCATTCAAAACATGGTGTTGGAGAAGAACTTTATAAGTATTCTACCTTGGATGGCTGGAAAGACACCCAAGTGGGCTCAAGAGCGAATCAAGCCTCATTTTTCAGTAGAAACTAAAATGACTAGATGGAAGTTCACATAAAATGTAACATGAAAAGATAAGACTCACAGCAAAAGACAATACTAGTGGAAGTTAAAGGCAGCAGGAAAAGGAAAAGACTGAATATGAAATAAAGAAAGCCCGGGCCTTCATTTGCAAGATCCAAACAGGACTGTTAACAATAAGTCCTCTATAGTCTTATCACCAATTCATCATCATAATCATCAGAGTATAGTGTTGCCTCGCTTAACGACGATAATCAGGTCCAGGAAAATTGCCGTTAAGCGAAAACATCGTAAAGCGAAATAAAAAAAACCCATTGAAACCCATTCACTCCGTTCCCGTGCGGTAAAAACTCACAGTCCAGTGAAGATCCTCCATACGGCGGCCATTTTCACTGCCTGTAGAGCGAGGAATCCATCCCTAAATACAGCGGGGAGCCATTTTAATTACCTGGTAGCCATTTTGAAACTGCCGATCAGCTGTTCTAAAAACATCGTTTTGCAAAGAATCTGTTCCGGAAGCAGGGAACCGATCATTGCAAAGCGAAATTCCCCCATTTAGACCATCGTTTTGCAATCGCAATTACGATCGCAAAAAGATCATCGTAAAGCGGATTTGTCGTAATGTGGGGCAATCGTAAAGCGAGGCACCACTGTGGTAGATGTCACTAAGGCAGGTGATGTAAAGATGAATGAATGGTTCTTGCACTATTTTCTAAATCATCCTGAGAGATTGGTCAGGGTGATTGCAAGTCACAAGGACCAGTCTCCCTGCATGGTGCTGAGAGTTCACAAATCCTTTAATATGCCTGTGTTTTCAGCATGTAATTTCATACCCATGCTTGAAGACCATACCCACTAACAAAACGGTAGTTGTATGACCAGCAAAAGACTACCTAGCATACAAAGCATTAAGATTAGGAGAGTTGTTACATGGTTTTTTTAAAATTTCCAAAAAGTGCCCATGACAACATTCTCCTCTAGCTCTTGTGATTCACATGCCATTACAGGAGAAGAAATATTAATCAGGTTAGCCTGATTTTAGACCCATTATCCTAGTTGTCTATCAGCTTTGAAAGGAACCATTGGATCCCCCCACTTCCATCTTCTAAATGCTTGCAGGCTTCTTTCTCAATTTTCCTATCATTAGCATATACCTCATGGGCTTGGGTTCATAGACTCTTGGCTTTATCATTTCTTTCTGTAGGCATCTTGATTTAGAGAATTCTCCCCAGGCTTTAAAAATTGTTAACACTTAGCAAAATGTTTCTGCTTTGGAAGGATGCAGCAGTGTTCTTTCACTATGCAGTAATAATTTTCATTGCCTCCTTCCCTCCCCATTACAGTGTCAAAGCTATGTTACAAGCTTTGTTTGAAACATTGGTGCTGTCTAGTGGCAGTCTGCTATATCTTTTTTCCATTTCCCTTGTTTAAGACAAGCCGAAATATGACTTCAATTTTTTTTTTAAAAAAGAAAGTTTTAAAAAAAAATTAAAAGTTTTGAGTAGTTTTAAAAAAGCCAAAATTTATATTTTTATTTAGTATCTTGCAACAACTGCATAGGAGTTATTAAAGCAAAAAATAAATTTTAATTGATCATTGCAACAGCCCTCCATAGAATGCTTTCACATTAGTTACATCTCTGTCCTCTAAAAATGCAAAGTTTATTGGCTATGACTGTATTGTGGAAAATGTGCAAGGAGAGTGACTACATCTCATTTGGGCTTAGTACTAATTAAACATGCTTCTATATTCAATAGAATATTATTTCTGTGTAAGCATCTTTAAGATTGTATTGTCAGCATGTCAGCAGAGTGTCTCGCTTAGAATTTGTCAGCTTTCCATAGTTATTGTCAAGCCAAGGACTTGTTCACTGCTGATGAAGGAACTTTTGTGCTGAAGCTGCTGGTTCTTCGTATGTACAAGTGAAAACGTAAACACCAAAACTCTCTAAGGGCAAGTTTAATCTCTTAGCAATCTTTCCATTCTACCAGGGAAGACCAAGTCTGGCGTCCATTGGCTTCATTTTGTTATATCTCTTGTTTTCAGGTATCAGTATTACCTACAGGTAAAAAAAGATGTTCTCGATGGACGATTGCGACCTTCATTTGAACAAGTGATAAGGTTGGCTGCGTTGGCGGTTCAAGGTATAGTGAGCATACCTGCTGACAGTTTCTTCTCTTGCCTACTAGTTTGACAGTTATTTGTTTGTTTGTTTGTTTGTTTGTTTGTTTGTTTAACTTATATGCCACCCATTCTACCCAAAGGTCTTTGGGCGGCTTACAACAATTAAAATTCAATTAAAATACAATAAAAGATTAAATGATCAAAATACAATTAAAAATATACTCTAAAAATTGCCATCAGGACCCACATTGATGTTATTTCAATTAAAAGCCTTCTGGAACAGGAAGGTTTTGACCTAGCGCCGAAATGTCATCAACGTCGGCGCCAGAAGAATCTCAGTCAGGAGGGCATTCCATAGTCTGGGGGCAGCTGCCGAAAAGGCCCTTGGTCTACAAGCCATCCCTCTTACCTCCTTGACAGATGGCTCTTTCAAAAGGGCCCCCTGGCTAGATCTTTTTTTCAGAGTTAGTGTGATTGTACTTTAGAGGTAAATATAGATTTTTGGTGTGTAACAAAATTAAACAGGACTTTTGACACCTTCTAATAACATGGAGTTGTCCTGAAGAATTTGTAGCAGTGTTTGAATTGAGTAGTTTATGAGGGGAATTTCCAGTGTTTTGAGACCCTTTTTGCAGTTTTTGATCACACTCAATAAAATAAAAGCCCTGGGGTGTTTTCTCTTTGTTTCTCTCATTCTCAGATGAAGCTGCTTAAAAATGGATCTTTTCCAAAATCTTTCACAAGATGTTTTACAAAAATATTGTGGCCTTCAGGAGATACTGTACTTTATTCTCTTATTCCAAAATATTTGGAAAATGGAGACACTTATTTGCATACTGTTGTGTATTAAAAGCAAGTAATGCTTCACTTCTATTTAAGCATGACTAGAGATGGCATTGTAAACATGCTTAGAGGGGGGGCACCTGGTCCAACTTCTTCCGTTGTGTTCTTCACTGTTGGCTTTGGTATCTGGCTGTGGAGCCAGGGGTTGGGAGTTCAGTTTAACCGTGTGTCTCTTTGGCAGGGGCTGAACTTGTGCACCAATATATTGTGGATAGTGTGTATTTGGGGGAATATAGTCCCCATTAGAGAATGACAAATAAAATTTAGTCTCTCCACTAGGTGAAGCCAATGGAAACCAAATTAATAGTATTACCTAGTGATTGGAAACAGCTGTTTTCTTCCATTTGCAGTCTTTCTTGACTGATGTAGAGCTGTAGTCATAAGTCATAAGAAGAAGATAATGAATTACTCTTGAAGTTCCCTTTCCAAACTCTGTTTGCTTTACCCTCCCCATTCTTTTTGTTTCTCTGGAGGAGGAGAAAGCTCAGTTTAAGCTCAGCTGGGTGGATGAGGTCTTTTGGTGAAAGCACTTGAAGAGGTGTGTTGCTTTTTAGGATCAGATGGACAAAGCTTGCCTACGAGTAACTAGCATGCACAGATGGTGGCTGAAGTGAACACTACTTTCCATCCCCACCCCAGTGCCCTCCAAGGCCATACAGCTCAGTAGCTGAATCCGGAGGGCAGTCAAACCAATAATCAGTCACCATGCCAGGTTGATGAGGTGTGCTGGCTTTTGTGGAAAGGAGTGAATAGAGCACAAATTTCTGCAGGTCTTATATAGATAGTGTATGTGTGAGAGAAAATGGGAGGGATGTAAGCAGAGCAGGGAGAAAAACAAAATGGGGACGCCTGGGGCAAGGAGGCTTCTGGCCTGCAGCCTGAATCCAGCCAGGAGGTTCTCCAACCAGCCACATCACAGACCAGATATAAAAAGGGATTCACATTCTACCTTTGTTCCTCTTCCCCATGTGGCAGCTGAGAGGGTCTTGTTCCTCCTTTCATGCACAAGGAACGGAGACAAACACAATAAAGAGGCTGCTGCCAAGCAGCAGTTGTTCCCCTCCTTCGACATGCAAGAAAGGGGGAGAAACAATGAAGGGAGTTGCTTGCTAAAGAGCTCCCCCCTGCACTTTGTCTGGAAACCTCCTGCCATCACCAAGCATGGCCATGCTCCTGATCGCTATGTTATGTGCTCCCAGATAGCTGCATCCACCCATTATTTTTTAATTCTCCATCCCTGTTGTAGGTTTATGCTTATGCCCAAGGTGCACTTTTACGTTTGCATTTAGGTGTAGGCAATCATTAGAATTGCAAATTAATATAAAACAGTGCCCTTCTGTCCCATTTGAGCCCAAATGACTGAAAGTATAACATCCATGGCACTTGGTTATGAGAGGTATTGTCTTCAGTTAGACTTTTCTCTTTGGTTCTTCTGTGTCAAAGTTTTGAGATTTCCATATTTACATGTGTTTGTTATAATGTTAGCAGCTATGTAAACTGAGTTAATATGTAAACTAAATTAGTGTGGTTTGTCTTTCTTCCCTACTTTCATGCAGCTGATTTTGGAGACTACCATCAGTTTGAATCTCATGATTTTCTACGGGAATATGTTTTATTTCCTATGGTAAGCTATTATGCACTGTTTTTTTGTTTGTTTTTTGTTCTCTTTCCCACTTTTCTCTGCAATCCAGTCCTGTTTTGTGATATATTCTAACACAGCTTTATTATATCCTTACATGTTACAATGGCAGTGCATAACACACCAAAAATTCCATAGATGCTATTGCACATAATAATAAAATATACTAATCATGTGCTGTCTAGTCAATTCTGTCTTTTGGAACCCTTTTCACAGTTTTCAAGGTAGAGGATACTCAACAGTGGTTTACCATTTCCTTCTTCTGGGGACGCCCTGTGACTGTGCAGCTTGTCCAAGTCCACGCAGGCTGGCTATATTTGTTGGAGGCTCAGTGGAGAATCAAACTCCCAGCCTCTGACTCTGCAGCCAGATACCTAAACCACTGAGCTCTCCAGCCAGCACTTCATAAACTGAAATAAAAATAGTAACAGAAATGGTTTTCATAATAGTTAGGCAAAGCATGTTTGGAAATTATATAAATTGTGCTTACCTCCAAAGAGATTATTTGCACTGACTTTACTTAGGTTGCTTCTGTTTGCCTGGGGAGTCCCACCCACATTATACTGTAAAGCAGTGGTCCCCAACCTCGGGCCTCCAGATATTCTTGGAGTTCAACTCCCATAAATCCTGGCCAGCAGAGTTGGTGATGAAAGCTTCTGGGAGTTATAGTCCAAGAACATCTGGAGGCCCAAGGTTGGGAACCACTGCTGTAAAGGTAAAGGTTCCCCTTGACATTTAGTCCAGTCATGTCCGATTCTAGGGGGCGGTGCTCATCCCCATTTCCAAGCCGTAAAGACAGCGTTTGTCCATAGACAATTTCCGTGGTCACGTGGCCATTATGGAACGGTGTTACCTTCCCACTGTGGTTGTACCTATTTATCTACTTGCATTTTTACATACTTTCAAACTGCTAGGTTGGCAGGAGCTGGGACAAGCGACAGGAGCTCATTCTGCCGTGTGGATTCGATCTTATGACTGCTGGTCTTCCAACCTTGCAGCACACAGGCTTCTGCGGTTTAACCCGGAGCGTCACCATGTCCCATACTCTATACTGTCTCTTTTATATATTATTTTTTTGGACTTCAGCATCCCAAATATCCCAGAAACAATTCTTGAATTTCTAGCCCAAAATATACTCTATACTGTTTCTCTCATATTTTGGGCTAGAACTTCAAGAACTGTTGCTGGAGTATTTGGGATGCTGAAGTCCAAAAAATCAATGTTACCCATTTTTGATAAAGTACACCCACTGGAAAACATTAGGTGTCTCATTAAAGTAGTCTAGTTTGTTACAGAATACGATGTGCTTATTGACTACATAGCCAACAAATTAAAGACTGCTCTGGGTGTGATGGAACAATGTAAAGAAAAGAGAAAAAAAAAACCTCTTCCAGTTCTCTTGAGGTCCAGTTGAGAGGCTTGCTGTGTTTCATCTTATCCAGTTACATTATGTGTCAAAAGACATTTCTTCAGCAGTGAAAAGAACAAAGTTATGTACACAGAACGCCTCACAGGTGCGTAGCTGTGTACAGACACGTACCATGCCATTTTTCATTAGCACGCTACTGCTTTCACATTTTTCAGTGTCAGGAACAAATATTATGGGGAGCTCTTCCCCCCCCGGGAGCTAGGAGCAAGACCGTTTGGTTAAATATACACACAGAGAGAGCCTTGAGGCATTCCACTCGGGAGAGTTTGCTGGCTCTTATAATTACTAAACTATGAAGTTATGAGTAGATTCCAATTGTGCCATTGTACCAAATGATTTTTGAAAAATAATTTGCACCACACACCAGCCCTGTTGACAAGGAAGACATATTTCCCCCTCATTTATGAGATTATATGTGTATTGTGTTGAATATTATAAAATGCATAGCCAGTAAAGCTTTTGATCGCCTAATTCTGGCAAAATAGTGGAAGAAAAACTAGCTTCCCCCGTGCAAGTCCAGCCCATTCTTTTTTGGAACCTCTTCCCCCCCCCCCCCAATATCTGTAGGATGCCTGGAAAAGCTACTGTTTTGAGTCTTAACTCCCAGAATGCCCCAATCCAAGGGATTTTGGAAGTTGTTGTCCAAATAAGCTCCAAACACATCGAAGCTCTCAGAGTGAACATTCAGTGCATTGAAGAGGAATTTCTACCCCACAAGGGAGAGTTGCTACAGCTCAGTGGTAAAACACTACTCCTGTGGCCAAAATGTCATATGTGCAGTCCCAAACATGTCCAGGTAGAGCACCTGAAGAGTTCTGTCTTTAACTTCTGTGAACAGGACTAAAGATGGTGCTGATTTAGGATAAGGCGGCTTCTTGCATTCTTGATGGATTGGTTTAATGAGGTGGGTAGGGGCAATGATTTTCCTACTGTAGATACAACATGCTTGGACAAGTTAAACAGGGCTGTTTGCTCTATAAGCACTCCTTTTTTCTCTCCCTGTTTACCCTCGCTCTGATTTTAGCACCACAGTAGTCTGTTTGTATAGATTGCTTTCTGTTGGGGTTAATAGGTTGTTGCCTTTCTGCTGGGTGGTTTCCACCTCCACATCTGAGTTTACACAGCAAAATCATGTTGTACTCTGGGAGGAACTGTGGGCCAAACCCAACATTTGTTTGGCTCAGAGAGTAGATTCATTGGCCAGACTCCAGTGGCATACTTCTACTGGGGTTTATGCCTTCTTCCAGAACCTGTGACACAAACACCCAATTCCTGAAGCTCCTGTGCACCCTGAAAAGATGCTCCCCAAGTTTTTGTTCACCATATAAAGCTGCAGCAAGAGGGGAAGAAAATCCCACTTTTGCTTGTGTTGGATACTGGTGGGCTTTGACCACTGAAATCCGAAGATTTTAAAGTAGCGGTGAGTAATAGGTCTCCTTCATTTCAGTGGGTCCCCACTAGGGAAGACTAGCACTGGGTTTAGCCCACCGCCATTTGAAATTGTGATAGATTAGGCTTGCACAAGATACTCCTCCATATAAACAAACCAACAGCCTCATTTTGTGTGAAGAGCCACCTGATACCTGAAGGGAAAAGTTCTTTTAAAATGTTTGCCTATGGGAGAGAATTCATAAATGCAGTTCTTTCTTCTTGGATTATGTGACTTCATCCAAGAAATCTACCCATATGGTTTTACTGAATGCGTTAATCAGTCCTGTGATCCTAATAATTAGATTAATTATACAATAGCATTTTTGTCATCTGGAACTCCTTCCTGTTACCCAATGTTTTGATTTAAACTGACATTCCTCATTATCTGAAGTGTCTCTTCTCCTAAGTTGCCAGTCTTCCTTGACCATCCTGCTGGTAGACCTGAAGTGCTTCTAATTCATTAGAATGGTATACATACCGTATGTCCCCGAAAATAAGACAGGGTCTTATATTAATTTTTGCTCCAAAAAAAAAACGCAGTGCAGCTAGTTTTCAGGAGATGTTTTATTTTTTTTTATGTACAACAATGCAGCTAATTTTCAGGAGATGTTTTTTTTTATGTACAACAATTTACATTTATTCAAATAATGTACAGTCATGTCATCTGGTTGCTGCACAATGGTGGAGGGCGGGGTTTCACTTAACTAGAGCTTATTTTGGGAGTATGTTATGAGCATCCTGAAAAATCCTGCTGGGGCTTATTTACGAGCATCCTGAAAAATCCTGCTGGGGCTTATTTTCAGGTTAGGTCTTATTTTCGGGGAAGCAGGGTAATTTCTTTCACTTCCTTTTCTTAATGAATCCTGGCAGACAGTTACAGCGGGAAAAATGGGAGACAACCATCTTTGTTCAAGATGTAATTGTAGAAAGCAGACAGGCTGTCTTCCTAACATGTTAATGGACTGGATATTTGATATTTGGTGTTCAGGGTTTAAATATTAAGAGGCTAGCCTAAACCTATGAAGAACAGAAACAACATGCCTTGCCCAATGGATGAATGCTGAAGTGTGTCTCCCACCAGGACAAGACAATCCTGGGCCATCTGGAAGTCACTTAATAATTTCGAAATGATCTAAGAATAACCAAATGAACTACAGGACAATTTTTCTGTGACTGTGGAGAAATTCAATCAATGCAGCACTGATGTGAATGCAATTTATACCCCAGCAAATATACAAAAAATATCTAGCAAATGGCTGAAATAATGCTATTGAAGTAGCCCACTTCTGGTAAAAAAAAAATAGTCTATCTCAACATTTTAATTGGTTTTTAATTTTATATGTATTCTATATATGTCCATAATTTTAGATTGTGCAACACTCTGTATTCCAAAATACACTCAAAATTAACTGTGACATTCAAAGCATTGCACGTTTAATTCCTTAAATTCTTACATACTCTACTTCACACATGCATTGTCTCTCAGTAAACACTATTCTTTGCTTGCTATTCTCCAGAATTTTACTCAAGATGAACAGGTCCTGGAGGAATTAACTCAGAAAGTAGCTCAGGAGCACAAAAATCACAGGTGAGTCACAGGTAGGTCAGAGTGTAGATGGTTGCCAAGATATGGAGCAGGTATGTCAATATTATCATTCATGGGGTACATTTAGCCCATGGCACTATTTACTGCAAGCTGCTTTTCTAGTTTGGCCAATAACTTTGTGGTGGTTGTTATTGCCTGAAACACATATTTCGCAGGAAAAGGGTGCTGCTCCTCATGCTAGGCTAAATGAACTCTCCAGAGTCTGAACTGTTTTTTTTTAAAAGCACTTCTTGTCATCCTTCAAAAAGGTAATAATTTATATTCCTTTTAGTAGTATGCTATTAAAGCATTATTTTAGATGGCTTTTTAAAAAACTTACTTTTTAAAAATCCCAAACTGACACAAAAAAGTAACAAGTAAGAGCAAATATTACTTATTGCACCCAGAATGTTTAGAAATAGAGTATCATTATCCCTCTCGTTAGGTGCTAAAGCGACATTACAGGGAACATGGTTAATCTGTAACAGGTTGATTCCTACCTGTTTTAAAGAGGAGGTGCCTGATAGCCCAGATCAGCCATTCTCAAACTCTTTTTTGGTCATGGCGCTTTTAAGAGCTCTTCTCAGGTTCCAGAGATACAACATGAACAGATGAAAAGAAAATCTTATCACATTTTTCAGTCTGTGGCTGCCCCCTTCAAATGTTTCAGGGCCTCGCAGGAGGCTACAGTGGGGTCTCGACTTACGAACAGCTCGACATACGAACGTTTCGTCTTACGAACCACTCATAGGAATATATGGACTCGACTTATGAACTTAGATTCGAGTTACGAACTCTTTTTTCCCTTTTTTTAAAAGCTAAGTCATCTTAGGTTAAAAGGAAAAAAGAAAAAATATCCCCCTCTAGTGGCAGAAGGTGGAATAGCAGCTTCCCATTAGTTTCTATGGCCGAAAAGAGCAGATACGGATTAAATGGTTTTCAGTGCATTCCTATGGGAAATGCAGATTCGACTTAAGAACTTTTTGACCTGAGAACTGCTTTCCAATACGGATTAAGTTCGTAAGTCGAGACCCCACTGTATATGGCTCCTATTGAGAATGGCTGGCTTAGATTTATTATCATCTTAGAACTGCAGAGCTGGAAGGGACCTTGTGGATCATCAAGTCCAGCCCCTGTCAAGGAGACACAGTGGGGAATTGAACTCCCAACCTCTGGCTCCACAAGCCAGATGTGTAAACTACTGAGCTATCTACAAGAGTGCAGAGTATACTGTTCCCGCCTTGTTATAAGGGTTTGATTGGCCTACGAATGTTATAACTATCTGAGAAAAATGGCAAGTTAACAAATCCCTAAAACCTGACTAGAATTTTCAGGAGCCAACATTTCTCTTCACTTCATTTGCAGTGGTATCTCCGCAGCAGAAGCAGAATTTGTTTACATCAGCGAAGCAGAACGGCTAGATGGGTTTGGGCAGGAAATCTTCCCAGTGAAGGTAAGATGTTGCAGCAGGAGCTACTATTTCCTTTCTGGCAGAGACGGCGGCAGGGGAGAGGCATTTTGAAGAATTTTCAGATAAAAGTCACTTGCTCTGATAATACACTGTATTGAATCAGCACATCTCTGCTAGAATCACTGGGAAAAGAGGGAAGCATCATTCAATCTTCAATTTGTCTGGGTCCTTTAATGAAGTTCTTGCTGTGGCCGATAGCCTGGTGGATTTGTCTGGGTGGTTAAATGGATTGCTCAGAGGATCCAGTTGCTGAGGATCAATGGTAGGAGATGGTTGCTGCCTTCATGCGATATACTCACATCCAATTGGGAGCACGGAAAACTTCTTAACAATGACAAAAACTCTGTGAAAGCAATGCTGAAATAGTCTCACAATATACTACAACTTTTCCCAGATGCAGTGACTCATGAAGATACACAACAGTAGTGTGGAAATGACAGTTTTGTTCAACACGATGATAAATTTAATGTATGACATACACTTATTTATAATATATACATATCTTCATAACACTCTGAAATGGTTTCTTCCAACCTAAACAGTTTATGTTTTAACAAGGGACTGGAACTTATCTCCCTTAAGCACCAGCAAACATCAACGGTCTGTTAACGAGCTTCAGGCTTCTTCATATCTCACATAAACTCTGCTCATTTCATTAGCCTTTTTCCAAACAAATTTTGGTGCTTATTTTTATCACGGTAACTCGTATTAATTCTGAATGTACGTCCACTGTGGCTTCTTTTTCTCTATTGCACACTCGGTGTCAAAGAGGATTCAAAAGTGTATGTTATACAGTGATGCCTCGCATAACAGGTGCCCCGTTTAACAACGAATCCGCATAGTGACGATGTTTTTGCGATCGCTTTTGCGATCGCATAACAATGTTTCCTATGGGGGAAAATCGCTTTGTGATGATCGGTAAGCTGTTTCGCTTACCGATTTTTGCATAGCGATGATTTTCCCCAGCTGATTGGCAGTTCCAAGATGGCCGCCTGGTAAAACAGGGACGGATTCCTTGCTTACCGGGCAGCTAAAATGGCCACCTTATGGAGGATTTTCGCTTAAAAGGTAGGTTTTAAGCCCATAGGAACGCATTGAAGGGGTTTCAAGGCATTCCTATGGGCTTTTTTATTTCGCACACTGAAGTTATCATTGCATTGAACAGTATTGTCATTTCCACATCACTATTGTGTATCTTAACGAATCACTGGGTCTTGTGACAATATTTCAGCATTGCTTTCACATTTTTAATGCTACCCTGTTTCCCTGAAAATAAGCCCTAGTAGGATTTTTCAGGATGCTCGTAATATAAGCCCTACCCCTAAAATAGTTTCAAGGCAGTTTCAATACTGAATTCAAGATTAAATGCTGTGAAGTTGGGGATGCTTTCCACAACACATGCTGATGGAAGTCTAGAGTTTTCTGTAGCAATTATCTTCAATTATTATTTTGGAAACATACAACATCGAGAGCCTGCCCCACCTGCAGCTGGCTGTGCTCGTCGGGCTCAGCAGGCACACTTTCTCAGTGTGCTACTCCTGGATCCTGGGGTGAGGCAGGGGAGACGGCTGCCACTGCCCTTGTAGGCACAGCTTTGGGGGTGACTGAGCTAGAGATGAAGACTCTGAGGAGGAAGAACACTGTCAAGACATGGAAGACTGGGCTGCGAGAAGTCCGTGCTGAGCCGCTGCAGCGAAGGAGGCTGGCAGCAACACCTGAACCAAGATGGAGTGAGACTCCAAAACCCAAGGTTCCTGGAAAGCAAGAGGGCCGTCAGGCTGGAGACAAAGCAGGCAGGTGGCCAGTCGCCTGCCCTCCTGCCTAGAGCCCTGATTCTCCAGCTACTTCACTCACCCTGATTTCTCCCTCCACGCCCTGTGCTCGGCCATGTCTTGAAGCAATGTCAGCTCTGCCTCCTGGAGTGTATATGAACATTCCTCCTGTCAGGGATCAAGAAGGAGGGGGTGTAGACTCAGAAGGACCCATACCTTCTGCCTGCAAAGCCCCTGGCAGTTTCCCTCAAGAGACATTCTGACCGAGCTGGACTTAGCAACTTCGAGAGGCCTTTTTCATTATTGGCCCAGAAGGTCCTGGGTCTGCACTGCGGCTGTATGTTGGTGCCTAAGTCTGCCAAAGCCTATTTCTTTTCAGGGTCAAGCCATACCTGATTCTGTAAAAGAGTTTTGGTGCAGGTTGTTTTCTCCTTGTAATAAAGCTCCTTCTTCTGCAAAGATTCACCATGAAAGGGGCAGCTGGGGTGGCTCATAAACATACTTATTTAACTAGCTGGTTGATTAATTTAGTTAATTAGTCAGTTAGAATGCTAATATACTGCTCAATTGGAAGTGACTTTACAGACATAATGACAAAAATAAACAATGAAATCATGGGTTTTACAGTAAAAACATGTAAATATCCAAAATAACACAAGTTTTCAAAATATTAAAATAATAAAAAGAATTTTGTTTCTTTTAATACTATAAGCCACTTTGGACCATTTAGGAGAAAGGTGGCATATAAATGTTGAAATGTGATAAATAAATGAGATAAAAAATAAAGTGTTACATCTAAAGGTGTTAGAATTGTAGTAGAAGCCATCGGGAATACATGCATTGCAAAATCTGATATTAACTTTACTTGTGTTATTGTAATGTTTGTTGGCCATCAAGTAACATCATGAAGAAGGGTCTTCTCAGTGAACTTCTGGAACGCTCCTCCATGTGCTTCAAAGGAAAATGTAAAACTTAAAACATCTTCTGAAATTTTATTTATTTACATAGGCCTTCTCTGCTTGATAATGTTTATGCTGCTTGGCTTTTGTGTTGCCAGTGGTTGTTGTCGAGCTTATCTCTTATTCTCAAATCGTTTTTATTCCAATGTTGGATTTTTACTGAACCAATTTGCGAAATAAGAGGGATGCAATTTTTGTGCACCCTCAAAACAGTAAGTGCTTATTAATGAAAACTAGAATACTGTAAAGGGTGTCAGATGGAGGTGTCTTAATTGTAGACAAAGATGCTTGCAACAGTTGACTAAATGTAGACCCCAACAGAAGACTATGTACAAGTGCTACTAAAATGGGATTGTAGCATTTTATGCATGTCTTCTGTGCAGTAGAGCATAAACTATTCCAACTGCAAGATAATAAATCCAATTAGAAGTCCAGGTTACAACTCAGGCGTGACTTTGCAAATGGTGCAGATGTGGTGGTAAAAGACCTGAGTGATAAGTGAATGGTCACGCATCAGAGTACAGCTGAGAGATCATATTTTCAAACCTGCCTTGTATTTATGGCCTAGGTTGGCCTGATGCAACAGAGATATTGCACCTTTAATATTAGTTAAATATAACAATTATATTTATTCCAGGTTATCATCCTTTAAGGTCCCTCTCAACTCTACTATTGTGCCGGCTGGATACTCCTAGTGTGGAACTGTAGAGTCCCTTGTATGAAAGCTTCAGCTGCTTTCACACCATATGTCTGTTCAGGTGAATACATACCCCTAGGATGGAAAGCCACCAATCTCCCACTGATACTCATTCCTGTCTAAGATAAAAGTGGCTAGAACAGACTACAAGGTAGGGTGCTATACTATATCTGTTTTGCCTCATTAAGGAGCAAGCAAGGTGCAGCGATCCACTACTTTTATAGACACTGGTGACAGAAGCTGAAAGTAGCATTCCAGACAACCATGGTTGATCCAGTGGACTCACTATCCCATAAAAGTGTGGGGCGAGCTACAACGTGTTACATGAGCTGCCCCCCCCCGGCCAACAAGTGCAGGGATAAATGGTGCACCAGTTAAAGGTGTGGCTGTAGTTTCTGCCGCAGTGTGTAGGTAGAATGAATATTGAAAACCTTTAACTCACCATTGTTAAACCAAAAAGTTTAAAACTGTTTCAGTAGAGGAAAATTATGTTAATTTAATCTAAGCAAGTTTGTTGCTTTGATGTTCTGCACATCAGTTACTCAACTAGTTATTAACAGAACATTTTGGCTTGCAGAATAATTCAAAACAATGTGGGCTTTAGCTGTGACAGTCACTTCTCCTTTTGGTGCCCTGGGTGTGGAGCTATTCTATAACATTATGTGCCATTGGCAATTCTGTTCCTACCCTAAGGCATATCCAGCTCAAGATCTGCATTGCCTCTGCTACAGCTGATGCAAAGAATCAGGAAAACTCTCAAAATTGCCTGAAGGGACAGAAGGAAATAAACTATTTGATTAACTGCTATGCTCTGGATCTTGTGACAATCCACATCAAAGTTAATGATTTTGCATGGAAGAGCAGAAATGTATGAGGTTGCCCATGTCCAGTCTTTAGATAAATGTCAGAAATCAAAGGTTTACAGCATATTTAAAGCTGTAGCAAATCAATTCTGTTGTAAGACTTTCCTTTGGTAAGCACCAAAGCAAATTTAGTTTAGTGCTATGCAGCTGGAAGGATGCACTGAAAATAGCTTGTAAGAACTAACTTATCGCATTGAGGTACCCAGAGAAGAACATTTTTTAAATCTATTCAAGCACTGATTCATTAAAGCTGCCATTATATCCTTTGTACAAATACTGTATCTGGCACATCAGCAGTTGTTGTTGTTGTTTAGTCGTTAAGTCATGTCCAACTCTTCATGACTCCATGGACGAGAGCACATCAGGCTCTCCTGTCTTCCACTGCCTCCCGGAGTTGGGTCAAATTCATGTTGGTAGCTTCGATGACACTGTCCACCCATCTTGTCCTCTGTCGTCCCCTTCTCTTCTTGCCTTCACACTTTCCCAATTTCAGGGTCTTTTCCAGGGAGTCTTCTCATGAGAGGGCCAAAGTATTGGAGCCTCAGCTTCAGGATCTGTCCTTCCAGTGAGCACTCAGGGTTGATTTCGTTCAGAATTGATAGGTTTGTTCTCCTTGCAGTCCAGGGGACTCTCAAGAGTCTCCTCCAGCACCACAATTCAAAAGCATCAGTTCTTCAGCGATCAGCCTTCTTTATGGTCCAGCTCTCATACATGGCTACTGGAAAAACCATAGCTTTGACTATGCAGACTTTTGTCGGCAAGGTGATGTCTCTGCTTTTTAAGATGTTGTCTAGGTTTGTCATCGCTTTCCTCCCAAGGAGGGAGGAAAGCAATGGGGAGCTTTGAAGCCTTCAGTCCAAATCTGATCCACCTGCACTCTTCCAAGAAGCCACAGTTTCTTTGCCAGGATCCCACTGTTTTGTGGTTTCCCCGATTTTGTACAAAGTTTCTCCCATTCTAAGCAACTGACATGTCCTTTCTGTGGCTTAGGTTACTGGCAAGTAAGCTAAAAGAAAGTGATAGTTCTGGCCTTCAGCTGGAATGCATCTATTGTGGCTTTTATTATTCATTGGACTTCAAGTTATAGTAGTACCCCCATATCCACAGAGGATTTGTACCAAGCCCCCCTCGTGAATGCTGAAAAACATGGATTATAGCTAATGTTGGAAGTCACCCAGAGTAGTCAATTGACTAGATGGGCGGGGTATAAATTCAATCAATCAATCAGTCAATCAGTCAGTCAGTCAGTCAATCAATAACACTATTTTAATAGTGAACACCATACATAGCATAGTCTCTAGTTCCCTCTAGTGGCCAGTTCTGATAACTTCATCTTAGAAATATGTATTGCTCAGGTTTACATTTAATACTTTTAATATTTCAGACTATGGATAAGCAAATCAGATTTATTGTGGTAGATTTATTCACCATTTCTCCCTCTGATTGTGTTTGTGTGTGGATATACAGGATGTACAGATTATAAATATTTTAATAAATACATTTGGCAACATTTTGTGAAATATCTGATGAGAAAGAAGCAAGCATTTTGTGGGTCTACTTTAAACACAACAAAGAAGCTCTGCAAGCTGTTTCACTGCATGTATTGTATCAGTTTTGCAGCTTTCTCGTGAGATTTTCTCATGGCTTAAATCTTGCCCAGAAATGTCACGTGCAACAAGATATATTAAAAAGAGATGATTGCTGCTTTAACTATACATTATATTTGTCACCCATTTAAGGGTTACAATTGGTATTCAAGCTGAATATCCTCTTTTTCCCTGTATAGGACAATCAAGGAAATGACATGCATTTGGGAATCTTCTGCATGGGGATTTTTGTAAAGAATAGAATGGGAAGGCTCACAGTGTTCTACAGGTAAAATCAGGGGACCTTGCCTCTCGTCCATGCAGTGTTTCAGTATTTTAAAGTTACGAGTGATTTCTGTGGATAAGCACTTGGGATGGTGGAATTTTGATCATGCATAGGCCTTTGAACATGTTGCTAAACGGATCTGCCTCTTCACATGGAGAGGTCTTTGAGGACCCATGGGGATAGCCCTTGGTTATGTGCCACCCCCTGCCCCCATGTTAGTTTTCACAGAGGTTGGAAAAGGTGCTTTTGTGAGGCTACAAAATTCTAGGAGTTGGACTCCAAAACTTTGCCCACTTTCTTCCTAGCACAGTGGGACAGATGTCACTGGCAGTGGCAGATTGCCACTAATTAAAGTGTCTCCTTTTTGAGATGTGCGCAGATGAGACAAGGAGACGAAGTCACACGCACCTCAGTATTATAAAAAAGGTTTGTTTGTTTTCATTAGCAATAATCTGCTGATGGTGTCATGTTTTTTCTGGCATCATGGACAGATCTCTGCAAGAATAACTTTTCCAAGCACCCCAAACACTGAGCCCTCAGCATACAGGCAAATGCCTGTGTAGGGCTGTTATGGAATATGCTCCTGATGTGGCCTAACCCCATCTTTTTGTTGTGTTAGAAAGTGCGTTCTTCACAAAACCCTTTGGCAGTGGCTAAGGCTTGCTGGGCCCCTTTCTGTTTGCTCTCACTTGGCTAGATTGTCTTTTGCCACTGACTTTTTTTTTCTTGCTACTTTGGCTGGTTTTGTTTTGCTTTTTGCTGAATTGCTACTTGTTGCTTTTAGTCCTGCGCTAACAATTGTTTTTTTATCTCCTAGAATTCTGTAGTCTCAGAAAATACTAACTATTGTATTTTATCATGTTGTCATGAGCTATAATATTCCATAAAGGAAGCAGACCTAATAAATAAAATAATCTTATGGACTGTCAGCAACATTCCCTCCCCCCAAAGATTCCCTAGCTTTTGTTTCCAGGGTGCATTTAGTGTTTTGATTTGAACGGAACCAGTGCAACAGTGACATCTATTTACCCACAGGTAGTAAGATTGTCAATGAAGTCTCTTCTCTCAAGCACATCTAGTGAGGACTTGAGAGAGGGCTTTTCCTGTGGCTTCTCCCAGATTATGGAACTCCCCTTTTTTTGGGAGGTGTGGTTGGTCCCTTCCCTCCTTTATTTGCTTCTGACAACTGAAAACATACTTCTTTAGAGAGACTTTTGAGGAGCAATTGAGACAGGGAAGTTTTTGATTGGTCATTATTTAAGTGACTTTTTAAATACTTGCGTATATGCTTCTACGTTTTGATTAGTATGCTTTTGATCACTGGTGGATTTTAAATATTTTTGTACGCAGCCACAGGTCCCTACCGGGGAAGGACAGAGGGATAAAAATGAATAAAATAAAAATAAAATAAAAAACAATTTTTAAAGATACAGCGAGTCTTTAGTTGCAATGGTATGTTTATTTCAGCAGAACTGTTTTTTTTTTCTGCAGGTGGGATGATATTGGAAATATAACACACAACAAGTCTTCCATTGCCGTGGAACTGCTCAACAAAGAAGAAACGGTGTTCTTTCATACAGTAAGCAATACCTTAACAAGTCAACAGCTAGAGAAGTTGGAGGGGAACATGACGCCGCGACCTGCGTTTGGCGCTGTCACTCTCGTCCTCCTCAACTTTCACCCAGATAATCTTGCTCAGAGTGGGTGCTTCCTCATTCCAAGGGATTTGGGGTCTGGTAGGCCCTGGACAGCTGTGCACTACCCGTTTGCCCACCATGGCTCTTCCATGTGACCCTTCCACTTCCTCAGTCTGGATGAGTGTGTTCAGGGTGACAGTGACAGCAAGTTTGACAATGTATCTGAACAATTTAGGTCTGAAAGAAGATAATTGCATTTGGGAGCACTGCATGGTCGAGGTTTCTAACCACAAGGTAGACTGTAATCACCACAGCTCTGCGGTGGTATGAGTACACTCATTCTGATAAAATGGAGTGTTACAAGCCTATCTGAAGTATGTAGTGGAACAGCCATCAGCATTTGGTTACTCCTTGATATGTTGGACTCCCATTTTTCTCAATCATCAACCATTTGGACGGAGCCAGCTTGGGGGAGGCTGTGGCAGATTATTATAGGTTTTCTGTAGCATTGGAAATCCATGGGAAAGATTGCTTTTCTTATATTACAATAGAGAGCCTCCTTGGGTTCCCATGGGAAAGGGTGGGATGGAAAGTAAATTGATGATGATGGCAACACAGTCATATCTCAAGTAGGCTGATAATTCTGTGAGAGAGGCTTCTTTTAAGTTTGAGGTTTTGTAAGGAGATATGCGATCTGGTGCTTGTCCAGTGGATGGACGCTTCAAAGAAAGATCTGCTACCCGAATGAAAGGTTGACGCCTCTGACCAGCTGACAAATAATTCTTCTCCAGTTGTTCCATGCTTCTGCCCCACTTCCGGAAACAGCTTGCCTAGCTGGAGCAATAGTGGAGCATGTTCTTCTGGTGATCCGACCTGGTCTTCAGATGGGACTGTCTGCCTGAGAGTCTTCTGGTTTGACTATCCCTATGGGTAACCTAGGAAAGCTCTTGTATTTAGGGCACACTTCATACTGTACAAACTACATGAACCTTTTCATGTATTTTCACTCTCCTCTTCCTTTGGGCATCTCATAAAAAGATCAGTACAGTCGTGCCCCACTTGACGATTACCCCGTTTAACGATGAATCCGCTTCACGATGATGTTTTTGCGATCGCAAAAGCGATCGCAAAATAATGTTTTAATATTCCCTGCTTCGGGAACCGATTTTTTGCTAAATATTCCCTGCTTCGGGAACCGAGTTTTTGCTAAATGATGTTTTTTCAACAGCTGATCGGCAGTTTTCAAAATGGCTGCCAGCTCTCAAAATGGCCCCCCGCTGTTTTAGGAGGCATTTTTCGCAAGACAGGCACTGGAAAATGGTTGCCCTATGGAGGATCTTCCCTTTACAATGAGGCATTTTGCCCATTAGAATACATTAGCCAGTTTCTAATGCATTCTAATGGGCTTTTTAATTTCGCTTGACAAGGATTTCACTTAACAGCGATTTCAACGGCACGGATTATCCTTGTCAAGCGAAGCACCACTGTACACTGGTTCAGGGCCATTTTCCATTCACACATCAGAAAAGCACCACTGTACACGAGGTTTCAGGGCCATTTTCCATTCACACATCAGACTACTTAAACTTAATGTTGTAATAGCAATATTTGTCTATCAAACCATTCTCTGAACCCAGATGGTGTGACGAAGTTGCACTGATATCCCTATCATGCAGTAACTTCAATACAGATAACCTATTTTGGCATGAGTAAAAATAATTATTTCTACTGAATATTTTGAAAGAATATGGTCATTGCTACACAACTCTCTGCTATACTAGTCATGGTGTAATTAATATACTTCTCCTGTGTTCTTTCTCTCTCCATTCCCCACCTTTCTGCTTGTGAAGGATGACCTTGAAAATGCCAAGTATATTTCGCGGTTATTTTCTGCAAAGCACAAGTTTTACAAACAAAACAAAATCTGCACAGAGTAAGTACATGCCCTTTGTGACTTGTTCTGTTTCATGTGAAGCAGTCTCATTTTGGCATAAGCTTTTGGCTTATTTAGGACATAGAATCATAGAATCACAGAGTCAGAAGGAGTTCAACCCCCTGCCATGCAGGAACTCCATCAAAGCACTCCCAACAGGTGGCCATCTAGCCTCTGCTTAAAACCTCCAAAGAAGGAGACTCCACCACACTCCAAGGCAATCTATTCCACTGCCTACCAGCTCTGACTGTCAGGAAGTTCTTCCTGAGATTCAGGTGGAATCTTTATGACAACTATCACATCTGCTCTCTGCAGCTACAGGAAAATCAAAGCTTGAGATCCAAAATCAAAGTTAAGAGATCCAAGATAAAATAAGACTAATAGAAATACGGTGTGTGTTCTTGATTAGATCTTCAGATTTGCAAGAAGGGTGCTATTTTTAAACTACCTTGGAATCTGTCTTATGAGAGGGGAGACAGGCCCTGGAGAAATACTTCTGAAAAGTAATTTGTTTCTATTACTTACTGTAGTGTTGGGAAATAACTCATTGTTGTTACTCGCTACAACATTGAAAATGCATCTCATTTCCTTATTTGTTTCACTACTTTTTTCCCTCATCTTCTTCTGCTTGTTTGGTTTAAGCACAGAATTGGTGAAAGACTAGCATGAAATTTGAAAAAAAAAACTATCAAAATGCCTCTAAAAAGCCTCAAAATATCTCTAATGGAACTTCATTCTCGACTTGCAAACTATTCCATTGTGCAAGTTCTGAGTAGGATCATGACGTTCCCTGTGAGAAAGAATATCATGAAACATCTCAAATGTTCCCTGGAATATAGGGCAGAATCACTGGTTGATTGGTCTGTTGGTCTGTCTCTGTGTCCATCCATGCATCCATTCATCATCCATCCATTCATCTACTGACGTTTTCTGTCTCCCAGTAAGTAGATGAATGAGTGGGGGGAACTAGTAGAACCTGCCATAAACCTAGAGTAGCAGAACTGTGCTCTAGCAAATCTAGTTAGTAGTCAAGCACAATGGAAATTGCAGTCCAACTTTAGGGGCTGCATTTTCCCTACACATGACATAAGAGATCTATACAGACACAGACCCTTGAAGGTAAATTCAATTGACCTCTGCAGGACTTACTTCTGAGCAGACATTTATAAATTCTCACTGCAAGAACTATACAACATCTCTCCAATTATTGTGCCGCAGCACCCAGACCCTTTTTGCTAGCATACAGCAAACAATATCACAGTGTTTAATTAGTTAACAGCACAGCCATGAAGGAGCTCTCAATGACCTTGATGCCCCACTTACCAACGGAACAGCCACATCTGTCTTATCACTTGCTGCCATCTGTTGAGCTTGCATAACTGAGCGAAAAGCTGAGGACACAGCAGTGCTGTTGAGCTGACTTAAGTATTTAGTGATTATTGGCTGAGGACCTTTCCGCAGACAAGGTTGATTTTAATCTGTCCCTCTACTGATAATTCATAAGGATTAAAAGGCGAGTTGGCAGCCAGAAGAAGAACAGGGAAGAGTAGGGGACCTCAGGTTTTTTGGTGAGATCCGGCTTGGCTGGTGAGATCCAGTCTAGCCCTCCAAGACTTCCAGATACCCATGATCCCTTTCGTGACACCACCATTTGGTGTTTTCACAGACTTGCATAGGGCTTCCTCCCTTCCCAATCTAGAAATGCCTCTCCTAAAGCTTCCTTTCTTTAGTTTAAAATACGATGGTATTTCTGCTGTTTCTCATTGCTTCAAGCGTGTGGCCCCATCCTCCACTGTTCTTCCTGAGAGGTCCTCTGAAAAGGGGAAAGCAGCTCCCCACCTCCTTTAGGTAAAGAAGTATTCCTCATCTTGCGCTCCCTTTGTTTTGGGTTCAGATTAGGGCCCCCAAACACAGTCTTACACATGCCGGCCTGCTTTCTCCTGCATGCACGAAGTTCCTTGTTGTCCGTGTCTCACTGGTAAATGCTCAATTAGAAGCCTGCTTTAAAAATGGAAAGGATCTAATAGGGATAGGAATATGCCATGTCCTAGGTGACACCATTGGTTCATTCAGTATGGGATAGTCATCGGTGACAGTCTCCATGGCTTTGAGCAGAATTCTTCCCCAACTCTGTCTGGAGATTAAGCCAATATTTGACGTGTAGGGCTTCTATACTTGCAGCACTGAAGACATTGGATTCCTTGCTTAGGGGGATGGCTTCATATGCTTTTGAAATACAGATGAATATATAGAATCATAGCCTCATGAAGTTGGAAGGGGCCTATAAGGCCATCGAGTCCAACCCCCTGCTCAGTGCATGGATACACATCAAAGGATATCTGCCAGGTGGTTGTCCAAGTTTCCTTTCCTGGATATCCTTTGAATGCCTCCAATATTGGAGCACTCGCCACCTTTTAAGGTAATTCGTTCCATTGCCGTGCTGCTCTAACAGTTACGAAGTTTTTCCTGATACTCAACTGAAATCTGGCTTCCTCTAATTTGAGCCCATGGTTACATGTCCTGCACTCTGGGATGATTGAGAACTGATCCCGCTCCTTCTCAGTCTTACATTTCAGGGTAGGCTCCGTTTACACGCTCCTCCTCATTCGTCCCAGAGTGCAGAAGAGATTCTTACATTTCAGGGTAGGCTCCGTTTACAGATATTTAAGTTGCATTTGCCCTGTTGTTTTTCAAATCTGTAGTTGGGTTACATTGTTGGATGTTTCTGACTCTTAAGATATGTAACTTTATTTTGTTTTATGTTTGGTTTTTTTTTTTGTTTTATTACCTACCTAAATAAATGTTGGTGAGAGGGCACTACAAAAGTGTCTTCAAGACTCATGGTTACTTGCATTAATGGTGATCTTTCCTAATTGGGGTGTTTAGAACATACTCCTGTTTTGTCTTCCTTCTTGTCAGTGTGTGTGTTTTCTAATTGCACATCACATCATTCACCAGATCAGAAAATGTAACAGGAGAAATTCAGACTTTCCTCTCTACACGTAAGCACTTTACTTCTGCTGCCTCCAAAGAATGTGGTATTTCCTCTTTTCCCTAACTTCTGACTTCTTGCGTGTTTCTTATCAATTTCAACCACCGTGCATCTTACTATTCTAACATGTACTACTATCCAGCTTTTTATTTTATCCGTTACCCTCTCCTCTGATGGCTTGTGTGCACTGCCTTGTTGCTTTGCTACACTTTCTCTGGTGTTACATCTGTCTGCTTTGCCTAAACCAATTTCCTCTAATCTGGTACACATCCTGTCCTGCATCAACATGTGGAAGGCACTAGAGATTGGGGAAGGCTGACGTATACCATATTTCCCTGACTGTAACACTGGTTCAGTTCTCATTCTTTGAAAGGATTTAGTTCTTTCCTTTAAATTTTTTCTTCTTCCTTTTTTAAAAGGTATAATGAGGTCATTTTGAAAAGGCATGTGTGTTACAAAATATTAATTACTTTCTAAATAAGGGAGGTTTTCAATGCTTCAGTTTCATATTTTTATATCATTTGCAAAGAATATAAGTGCAAAGTGGAAGGGCTTTTCTGCATCTCTTGTATAAAGATACGCATTTCATAGAAAGATGGCAATTAAGAATATTTCCCCATTTTTCTCCCCAGACAATCAAATTCCCCTCCTCCTATCAGACGGCGACCCACCTGGAGTAAATCATCCTTGGTAAATATCTTGAGAAAAGTGATAAACTCTGTAGGAAGCAAATGAAAATCAAAGCGTCTAGGGTTTTTTTTTAAAGACTAGAGCTTTTGTGATAACCCCTAAGATTTAACACAGCAGTAATAAAACAGGGTGTTGTGGAAAGATTGCTGAAGGGTCAATGCTAAATTTGTTTCATGAATATATTCAACTTGTGTTTTCCTTTTTTTTATCTTTTAGCCAAGGCAACACCCGTATATTCTGCCTCCTATGCATGTCCAGTGTGGAGAACACTATACTGAAGCTCACAATTCACAAGGTATGTTGACAGTAACAATTATTAACACTATATAGCATATGTTTTTGTTCAAAGCTGTTTAAAACTTGATCTAATCTTTAATCAGTAATGGTGTAATCTAGGCCAATATTACTATATCTCATACTGAATGTAGAAGAAAGGGCATGAGGGTCCAGGGCAGCACTTCTGCCCTGAAGGAGAGACGAGGAACCTGTCATTTCTCAGGAGCTGCATTACCTTGTTCAACACTTACTAGAGTCCACATTCCAGCAGTGACCCAGAAATGGACAGAATTACATGCATGACCCTTCCCAGGGCGCAGGTGTTTTATCCAGCCCTTCTCCTTCCCCAGTGCATTTGTATCATACCTTTCCTCCAGAGGGCTCAAGTCAGCTTTCTTGGTTATGCTCTTTCCCATTCATGCCCTTACAGCAGCCCTGTGAGGTAAGTCAAGCTGGGAGAGAATGACTGACCCACAGACACCCAGTGAGTTTCATGGTTCTCCAGTCCTAGGCTGAAACTCTGACCTCTTACACTGCCCTCCACTAGCTTCATAGTTGTGAGATGAAATAGTGTGGAGTAAATAAAAAAATTACATACTGCATATGGAGATCCTGCATATACTGGGAAATAATTTTAGACATAGAAGCTTCCTGTGTGCTTATTAAGAGTTTCTGTGCCTGCAGAAGCCTGTACGATTGCAGTCTTAATGATATTTTCATAACGGAAGAGGAAATAATGTGTTCTTAGTGAAAGAGGAAGCACTTTCTTGTTTCTGACTATGGTGAACCCCATGGATGCTTTGGGCCTCTTTCTCTTCTGTAGCTGGCAGTGAGGAAACCGTGCTTTTGCAGACAGAGCTGCTACACTTCAAACTGGGATACAGTCTTGCAAATGTTTCTAAATCTTATTTGCCATATTCATTATCTTGCCCTCTTCCATCATTAAATTTTCCAGTGGTTTCTTCCTTCTGTCCACAGATAGCATTTTTCTTGGGAATGAGGAAATGTTTTACTGCCGATCTCAGACTAGCTTGGACCGTTCTGCAATGGATTTCAGCTACGTGAACGGCAACGTCCCGAATGGGAGCGTGTGTAGTGCCCAGAGTATGAACTCCCTTAACCACTCTCAGAACTTCATCCAAGCTTCTCCGGTGTCTTCCAACCTCAGCATCCCTGGAAGTGACATTATGAGAGCAGACTACATCCCAAGCCATAGACATAGCGCGATCATTGTGCCCTCCTACAGGCCAACACCGGATTATGAAACTGTCATGAGACAGAAGAGAGGGGTCATTCACATGGATAGCCAAAGCCAGTCCTTGAGGAACCTCAATATTGGAAACACTCATGCTTACAACCAGCCTAAAGACCTTGTGTACAGCCAGCCAGAGATTCGGGAGAGACCTCAGTACACCATTACATATGGGCCTCAGGGCACTTACAAAAAACACATTGCTCCTTCTGAGCAAGTCAACCCCAACCCGCATATGGCACAGACAAAACCAGCTGCCACTGCCATTTCCCACACGGTCAGCACGCCAGAGCTAACCAACATGCAGCTCCCTAATAGTCAGAGATCTGGCACAGCACATGTACTCAAGAACTATCTTCCCCGGCCACCCCCGCCCTATCCCCGGCCACGTCCTGCTACCAGCACCCCTGACCTCGCAAGTCACCGTCAGAAGTATGTGAGTGGCAGCAGCCCTGACCTGGTCACACGGAAAGTCCAGCTTTTGGTGAAGACGTTCCAAGAGGATAGCTCTCCTGTTGTCCACCAGTCTCTGCAGGAGGTTAGTGAACCCCTCATGGCTGTGAAACATCACGCTGCAGTCAACAAGCGCCACAGTTTGGAAGTGATCAGCAACATGGTCCGTGGTATGGAAGCCATGGCTCTAAAGAGCATGAATGCACCCTTGCCACGCAGGAATACCTTACGCGAGCAGGTGCAGCCGGAGGAGGTGGCGCAGAGGGCCCATGAGGTTCAGCAGTTCCAGTGCTACCACCACAAGAAGACCTTCTCAGATGCCACCATGCTGATTCACAGCAGCGAGAGCGAAGAGGAGGAGGAAGCTGCCCACCCTGTGCCTTCGGTGACCACGCTGCATGAAAATATGGAGTACAGCGCTCAGCTACAAGCTGCCTTGGCAAGAATACCAAATAAACCTCCACCTGAGTATCCTGGTCCGAGGAAGAGCATTAGCAACGGAGCCCTGCGGAATGATCAGGTCAACGTCCTCTTGGCTATGTCTCGAGCCAGGGCCATGAGGCCAGGGCCTGCAAAGGCGATTAGCATCTCTCGGACTGATCAGACTGGGCTCAATGGGCCTTCCCTCGGCCCATCGATTTCGGAGCCAGACCTCACGAGTGTCAAGGAAAGAGTCAAGAAAGAGCCAGTGAAGGAGAGGCCTGTCTCTGAAATGTTCACTAATGAAGACAGCATAATAGAAAGAGAGATGAGGGTAAGTGTCTGTTCTAAAAGGATGTTGATGTCTCTGAGTTATAACAATATTTTGATATGGGAAAAGGTGTCTCTTATACTATTAGAAAATAAGGGCCTTTTTAAGCTCGTTTAAAGGATGGGTGATGCCTTTCTGTAAACATACAACCTGGGTAAAATATTGGGATCTAGAATGTTACTTTTAAGAGAACCTGCAGTAGAAATCATATTGATTAGAAACGTAATTTTAAAGAAAAATGTTGATGATTTAATGGAGATATTTCAAGGTACATGAATGTTATGCACCACAATCAGTTTTCTTCTGCCGGATAAATTTTCAGACCTTCCGGTTGTGCTCCAAGCTCTAAGGCATGTAAAACTAAATTAACATGACACGGGACTGATGGTAGTTAAGAAGCCACAGAACAGTTTTAATTTCCAGACATGCAGTGAGAAACTGGGGTGTGTGTGTGTGTTAGACATTCTGCTCTACCTAATTAGAATTGAGGTTACTGACTGATTAGAACTCAGTTTTATAAATTGATTCTGATGAGAGATGGACATGAACCACTGGTTTGGTGGCCTGAGTTATAACAATATTTTGGTTTGGTGGCTCATGCCCATTCAGACACTGGCTGATCAGTGGTGGTGCCCACTCCAAGGCAGTGCCTCAAGGAGGTGGGGCCATGCCCGTTCAGACACTGGCTGATCAGTGGTGGTGCCCACTCCAAGGCAGTGCCTCGAGGAGGTGGGGCAGGGAATCCTGGGGCACTTCTGCTGAGTTGGGTGCCCACCAGAGGGGATGGGGCGCTGAACCATAGAATACCTGTTTGGCCATTGTCCAAACTGGCATAAGCCAAGGAACCTGCGGTTCATGCCACCTTTAATTCTGATTTCATGCTTTAGCAGCCTCTGTCACTCAAGACATAATAGGTAACAACAAATCACAAAAGGAGATTTGTATGTTGCCCACCTACAGCACGGGTGGGCCATCTGCAACCCAACAGAGTCCTCAAGTGCAACCACCCACAACCCCACCCCTCTTCCCCTACCCCGGGAAAAAGAATGGCTCAGAAATTCCTCTTGTGACCTCTAATGGAGAAAAAAATTCTGGCATGTTATCAGGGGTCGAAGCTCCCCTAGCTGCCCCATACAACCTCAGATTAAAAAAGGTATTTTAGCCACTAGAAGACACAAAGGTGGGTTTTGTTTTTTGTTGTTAGTTGTTTTGTGTGTTTTTTCACTTTAAAAAGTTGCCATTTTTGGAAGAAAAGTTTCTGGGTGGCTGGGATCACGGGACAAGAGACAAGGCTCCCTGGAGATCACCCACTCCCATTCTACACAATAGTGTTTTTTTTTTATGGATAATACTGTAGATCCCAGTTGTCTTTCTTTTATTATTAAATGTACACACTGAATTCTGTAACTCCAAGTAAAATGAATCTGTATGCTACTTAGTAATTCTTTTACAGCTCATGTATTTAGAAGGTAGGAAGAGGCTATCGCTGAACTAAAATGGGGGAGAAGAGGTATTTCATCCGTAGTTTGCTTCCTTTGCAACATTTTTGTTGCAGCTGGGGAGGGGAGCACTGAAAGAGGCACACACGTGGCCGTGTTGTCTGAAGCTCCCCTAGCTGCCCCATGCAACCTCAGATTTAGAAAGGTATTTTAGCCACTAGAAGACACAATGGTGGGTTTTGTTTTTTTGTTGTTGGTTGTTTTTTTCACTTTAAAAAGTTGCCATTTTTGTAAGAAAAGTTTCTGGGTGGCTGGGATCACGGGACAAGAGACAAGGCTCCCTGGAGATCACCCACTCCCATTCTACACAATAGTGTTTTTTTTTTATGGATAATACTGTAGATCCCAGTTGTCTTTCTTTTATTCTTAAACCTACACACTGAATTCTTTAACTCCAAGTAAAATGAAATCTGTATGCTACTTAGTAATTCTTTTACAGCTCATGTATTTAGAAGGTAGGAACAGGCTATCGCTGAACTAAAATGGGGGGAGAAGAGGTATTTCATCCGTAGTTTGCTTCCTTTGCAACATTTTTGTTGCAGCTGGGGAGGGGAGCACTGAAAGAGGCACACACGTGGCCGTGTTGTCTTGTTTGCCTTCACTTGTAACGAAAGTTGCTGATACTCTCTGTTTCTGCACCCCAGTTTGGAAGTGGAAAGAGGCAGGATGAAATGTGCTAAAAATATCCTATCAAGGCTGGCAAAACTTCTAAATGTTGCCCCCACCACCACCTTGAGGCAGGATGAAATGTGCTAAAAATATCCTCTCAAGGCTGGCAAAACTCTCATTTTGCACTTCTAAATGTTGCCCCCACCACCACCTTTCTGGTGACGATGACACCTTTCTCTCTCTTTGTGTGCATGTGTGTGTGTGTGTCTCTCTGTGTGTGTGTGAGAGAGAGAGAGAGACCCTGTGTTTGATGAGAAGCCCTCTGTGTCTTGGGACCATTCCTTTGAAATTAAAATTCTGAACTCATGTAGGAACATCCCAGTATCTCCCGCCCAGGGAAATAACATAACAGCTAGGAAATGTGTTTAGCTTTGTTCTGTTAATGGCAATCATCTCCCCTTCTCAACTGGCATTGTAGATTTTGTGGGAGATTAAAAAGACATTCCAACATTCTGCTGGCATGATTTCTAATCACCCCGAGATGAAAGCCTGCCTTTTCTTGCCAAAAGTATCTAGAGAAACAGAAGATGGCAGGCCTGGAGGCCCAGAAGAGGCCCTTGATGTTGGCAGCGCTCAATGGTCTCTCAGTTGCTCGAGTTCCAGTGCCTGAGGACAGCCAGGATGAAGGAGCCAAGGTGCCAATGGATGAGCGGGTAAGGATAGACTTAGAAAACAAAGAGTACCGTTTTGGTGTCTGTCAGCGACAGCTGCTGCTGAAGTATTAAAAAGAAGGTAAACATACAGTGCAGTCCCGATAACACTTGGCTTCCAAATCACTGGCTACAGAGAGGAAGGTTTTGAAAACTTGTTTGATATATCACACCTTTCTGTCAAGGTCACAGATATAGATGACTGGTGTAGTGGTTCCCCCCCTTCACTTTGTCCTCCCAACAGCCCTGGAGGATAGAGTATGTTACTTCATCTAACAACCTGCAAGAGTATCAGAGTCTCCCATTTTTTACCACAAAATCTTATCTTCCCTTTCAGTGCAAGGTGAACGAACACATGGTTACTTCCAAGGAGCATGCATTCTAAGATAGTTTGGCTGTCCAGAGATAAGGGTTGTAAGAACCTGACCTGGTCAAAAGATTGAGACAGTGTTTGCTACCTTGGTTGATAATCTTCATCTGATCGTCAACAGAACTAACTCATGCATCACAAATTAATTCTTCTCTCTTTTAATGATCTGTAAGCTATCCTAAGTCCCATTGCCAGAAGAAAGGCCTTGTATTAGATTGCTCACCAGATTTCCAATTAGAGGAGTCCGTACTTTGGAACTATTATCCTTATGGACTCTTTAGGTTATTTATTGTTTATGTTTATATATATAGATATAAAACTGTGTTACAGTTCGCTTATTGATTTAGGAAATGCAGATTTGGTTACATTCTTATCAAAATGCGAATCAAATGTCTCCCCATTTCCTTCATGTCTGTTTTTTTAGATTTTTCATGAATGAGTATTGTCAACCTGAAACTACTGTCTAGGAAACCTATATTGAAACAACATTTATTTGTTTTTAAATTGGCAAATATTTAATTATTTAATTCCATTAATGTGGAAGAGATGGCAGTTAACACTCTTTAGAAGGCCACTGAAAGTATTTCCCTCATGACTGATACAGTAGAACCCAATGATAGAACAATGTCTGAATCCATGGGATATTATTCTGATTTATGAATTAATTTGAAATGAACAAGCAGTCGCAATGGAATCCTTACAGGCTGACGTCCTGTTTCTTAGCATAGATAGTTGCAACTAAAGTAGGCCCTTTGATTAGTGAGGATTTGGTGAGTCAATCCTCCATAAATTACATTGATTCAAATGAGCCTACTCTAGGTGTGACTTACTACACTAAAGTAAATAGCAGAGCAAGTAGAACCAGTTGAATCAGTGGAATGAATGTAAGATTTGACTCATCAAATCACCACTGATTTAATATACCTAATCTAGTATGGTTTACTATGCTAAGCAACAGGATTTCAGCTATATAGTTAATATGCTGCGTTTATCACATAGATTCATTCCATTATCTAGGACAAATATCTTATATGGAGCTGCTGTTGCATAGAACATTTTCTTTTTCCTCTTCTTAAAAAAAATGAAAATAATAGTGCAGACTCCTGAGAAAAAAACTGGAAGAAGAAATGGTATTCACTGAATATGAGCAAATTCCAAAGAAGAAAGCAGATGGGGTGTGTACCACAGCGATGCTCCCAGATAACATAGAGCGTAACCGTGTCAGAGAAGTAGTTCCGTATGAGGAGAACCGAGTGGAGCTGGTACCAACCAAAGAAAACAATACAGGCTACATCAATGCCTCACACATAAAGGTAACAAGTGGTTGTTTGGGAGGGGAGCAATGGAGAGAGAGAAGAAACTCTGGATTTTAGGGATATGGGTGCTAGATTTGAACTCTGAGGGATCCAAGCTCATGTCTATGCAGTGATATGAACTCTGTGACTCAATGGGCAGGCTCAGTCACTCTGTCGTGACCTCAGCTGTTGAAGTGTACAGTGGTGCCCCGCAAGACGAATGTAATTCGTTCTGCAAGAATTGCATTGAGGAGAAGGAAAACTCCGATTTCAAACCTTTGCGAAAAAATCATCTTGTGAGTTTCCCTATGGAACCTCGCAAGATGAATGAAATTTATTTGTCTTGCGAGGCATCAGTCTCGGAAAAAGAAAGAAAGAAAAAGTATGGCGAAGCATGGACATAGAAGAAACTGTCTTGCGAAGCACCATAGCGATTGGAAAAACCAATCGTCCTGCGGGTTTTTTGTCCCACAAGGCAATCGTCTTGCGAGCACAACTGTATAGTCTATGCCTCACCTGTTGTTACTGAAACATAATTATTACTTGGGATTTATCAAGCAGTTGTTTTAAGGGCAAAGGTTTGCATCCAAATTTAATCATGTATAAGGTTCCCTATGGAACCTCGCAAGATGAATGAAATTTATTTGTCTTGCGAGGCATCGGTCTCGGAAAAAGAAAGAAAGAAAAAGTCTTGTGAAGCATGGACATAGAAGAAACCGTCTTGTGAAGCACCATAGCGATCGGAAAAACCAATCGTCCTGCGGGTTTTTCGTCCCACAAGGCAATTGTTTTGCGAGGCACCACTGTATAGTCTATGCCTCACCTGTTGTTACTGAAACATAATTATTACTTGGGATTTATCAAGCAGTTGTTTTAAGGGCAAAGGTTTGCATCCAAATTTAATCATGTATAAATTAGATCCACTGAAATTAGTCACAACACACTTAAGTCTCATTAATTTCAGTCCATCTTGCCAAATAAACATTTGCTACGGTGCAGTTCTCTATTTACCAGGGACGCTTTGTACGTAAGCCCTATTTACCTCTGAAAGACATACTTTTTGGTAGAAAGGCTTTCTTTAAGTAGATACGTACAATTTTGTATTGTGTGAGTCCCTGACAGGGCAAATTCTGAAGTGAAAGGGAATCTAGATTCAGTTTCACAAGTGTTGACTTACCACAGTCCCCTTGATTCTGTATGTCTACCTGGTAAACAAATTGGTTTAGCCCATAGTTTAATGGTCTTTAAATACTACACAAGCCATCAACATAAAATTATTTGCCTTCTATGTCTAACTGTTCACAATGTTGCAAAAATACTTTTCAAATTTGGAACTGAAGAAAACAATTCCCCATTGCTATTTAGCAGTTCGTTGTGTTGCTTTATTATTTGGGATAAAATTTGAGTGAGACTGCTTTTATTATTGTTTTTCAGTGCCTGTCAAAATATTTTTTTTAATTATAACCATATCTTACCACAAGACAGCTCTACTGAGTTCCGAATAAGGGGAAAAATTTAAACAAGGTGGGACAAAGACGAGGGGATAGAAAAAAGAGGAAAGATCAGGAATTGGCAGTTGTGTTGCTTTATTATTTAGGATAAAATTTAAGTGAGGCTGCTTTTATTGTTTTTCAGTGCCTGTCAAAATATTTTTAAATTATAACCATATCTTACCACAAGACAGCTCTACTGAGTTCCAAGAGCCATTTGGTCATAATTTATAATGTGAAACCCTTGCTGAGGCAAAACACCTTTCTAAATCAGAATCCTATCAGAGTCTTGCCAAAAGACCTGGTGGATAGAAGATACTGGATATTTCTGGCACTGTCTGCTTTGGCTTGGATGACTGATTACTGAATCTAACATTTTTCATCTGTTTGTGGGAGGGGTATCACTTCTGAAAGCATAATTTCTCCCCATCAGGAGGCAAGGGCCGAGAAAGAATTCCCCCCCAACCAGTTTTAAGAGCTCATATTTCATCTTGTATGTCAGTATTGGACGTATGCACATTGTTCTGTAGCACATGTAGGAACATGTGCTGGGGTTTAGTAGGATACCACTCTTTGTGCTGCCAGCCCATTGCTTTTCTCACTCCAAGTGGCTCTTACAGAAGCCAAGCAGATGTTCTTTCACTCAGAAGGTGAAATTGCGTCTGCACATTTTACCTCAGTCACACAGCGAGTGGGTTTTTGCCCAGTTGTCAGTTTTTAATATCCTGCAGTCAGGGTAGTAGAGTGCTGCCATGATCCAGGCAGTGCACTCCCTCTAGACTATTTATGGCATCTTCTTCATGCCTTGGGTAAAGAGACAAAACAACAGAGCAGACAAAGCATAACTCCCATAACATTCCACGTAGATTTTGCCTTAGACTCCTACACTTGGCAGTCTTTCGTTAGGTTGTCTGCTATTTCATTAAACTTTCTTCCTGGTTATCAAGATTCTGCTGGTTCTGTTTGTAGGTTACTCTCCATTTCCAGCCTATGTGTTCTTATACCCCATCAGCATACAAATTTTTTCTCTTTTTATGTTTCACTCAAAATATTGAAATCTCGATTCTGAAACTCCTTACAATTGATTTATTTTTCCTGATTTTAATAAGCTCTGAAATTTCTAATAATATATCATATAAAATAAACATGTTAAGTCACATCGTAATGGGACGTGGTTGTGCTGCGGGTTAAACTGTAGAAGCCTCTGTGCTGCAGGGTCAGAAGACCAGTAGTCGTAAGATCAAATCCACATGACGGAGGGAGTTCCCGTCGCTTGTCAGAGCTCCTGCCAACCTAGCAGTTCGAAAGCATGTAAATGTGAATAGATAAATAGGTACCACCTCAGTGGGAAGGTAACAGCCTTCCATGTCTAGTTGCGCTGGCCACGTGACCATGGAAACTGTCTTTGGACAAACGCTGGCTCTGTGCCTTGGAAATGGGGATGAGCACCACGCCCTAGACTCGGACACGACTAGACTAAATGTCAGGAGGAACCTTTACTAACCTTTAAGTCACATAGGAGTTCTTCATGTCCAGCTGCTACTGTATATAATCATCATTTTAGAACAGCAGAGCAGGAAAGGGATTCCCATGGGTCATCAAGCCTAGCCCCTATCAGGGAAACAGTGGGAATTGAACTCCCAACCTCTGGCCTCATAGGCAGATACCTAAGCCACTGAGCTATACTTGAGCACTATTGTGGGATGCTGCTGTAAGTGACAGAATCAGGTCTGTTTCCTCTAATTTATGTGGCCACGATAACTATTAAAATACTGCAGAATGTCAGTGTAAAAGCCTTGGCCATTTTCAGTTCTCTTAGTTCTAGTGGCTTTCTCTGAATATAAGCAAAAGTTGAGCCTCTTAACTATTTGGGTGGAAAACACTGTGTGACATGCATACTCCTTTATTTATTAAACTTGCATCTTGCTCACATTTCTGCCTTATTCAGAGTTCAAGGCAAGACACACACACATGTACAAGAAGATACAGTGGACCCTCTACTTACGGAATTAATCCGTATTGGAATGGTGGCTGCAAGTCGAAAAGTCTGTAGGTCGAATCTCCATTGACCTACAATGCATTGAAAACCGATTAATCCCATAGCTGGCAGTTTTTATTCTATTTTTGTTCCATTTTGGTTTTTTTCTGGTCTGTAAGTTGATTCTCTGGCTGCAAGTCGAATCTAAATTTTGCGGCCAGAGAAGTCTGTAACTCGAAAAGTCTGTAAGTCGAACCGTCTGTAAGTCGAGGGTCCACTGTACTCCTTGTTCTGAACTTTTGAGTGATGTAAAATATCGTAATTAAAGGAGAACATTATATGCATATCAGTAACAACAGCCAGGTTGGATGAGTTTCAGTCACACATTAAATTAAAATATTCTAAAATATTTTAAAAGTAAATAAAATTTATTTATATAATTTTAGTTTAAGAGATGCTATGGGTCACCGAGACAGAGGTATGTGATTGTGACAGGAACGTAATCAGTGGTTGCTGTCATTTCAGTCTTTCTCTCTTTTTCTTTCCCTGTGTTTTTCTCTCTGTCTTCCAGGTTACCGTAGGTGGAGAAGAATGGCACTACATCGCCACACAAGGACCTCTACCCCAAACCTGCCATGATTTTTGGCAAATGGTGTGGGAAGAAGGGGTTAATGTGATAGCTATGGTGACAGCAGAAGAGGTATGTAATGGCCAGAAACCACTGGGAAACCACCAGCTGCTGTTTCTGTGTAAAGTAATGCTGTACCAGCTGGGAAGAAGGCCTTTCCTTTCTAGAGAGACTGAAACCGGTGATGGGTGACATACAGCCTCCATAGAAGGATCATGGAAAACCAGTGGCATCTAAACTTGGGTTCCCAGAGTGTCTGAACTTGCTGAAATACAGCTACCCAGTGCTTCAACCAACATGGTCAGGAATACTAGGATATATTATTCAGCAGCTTCTTGGAAGTCAAGTTGGGAAGTCCCCACACTGACCTATTGTTTAATGAGAGGCAAATAACCCTTGGCTTGTCCCAGGCCTGTATGTTCTTCCTTCTCCGCCACTACCTTTAGCTGAGAAAGAATCATCCAGTGAGCTGCATGGCTAAGGAAGGATTTGAACACAGGATTTTCCAATCTTAGGTCAACACTGCTGATTGAAACACACTTGTTATATCGGTCCAGCTGAATGCCTGTTTAGGGCAGCATTCTTCTTTTACACAAGTGATACCCAATCAAGGTGAGGAAACAGGACTCACAACATGAGAATAATATATTTCCCGTTTCAGTTCCTAGTTGTTGATTGTTGCAGCAATTGCTGCATTTTGTGACCTGTCTTGGTGTGAGGGGTGGAATATGGAAACTACAGCTTCCAGAATTCCCTGTGGCCTTGCTGAATTGGAGTTTGTGAGAGATGGGGCTAGAAAAATAGCTTTTGCTGGCTCTGATTCACACAAGCAAAGCTGCCACTTGACCCCCCTTGTCTATTCTCATTGTTCATGCTGAAAATATTCAGTTGCTCGCAAACACCTAGTTATCTGAGGTTTTCCTTCCTTATCCATTTCTTCAAGCTTTGGAGCCTGCTTTCTATTGATGCTTTTGATCGTTGTGTCTTCTTATCAAAGGGTAACACTGAGAACTCTGTGATCAGACCTTGTATTATCTTGGGTACTCTTATGGAGGTTTAAATTTCTCTCTGTGTGTGTGTTTTTGTGATGCATGAAGGCTCCACCATAACTGTCTACTTGTCTTTGCTAGTCTCTCCTCCCACCTCACATCCCTTTAGTCTTGGATTTTGTTTGTGGGTTTGTTTGATATTTGTTTTTGTTTTTAAAAAAAAAATCCTTTGAACTTCTGCCAAGCATGACTCAACTCCTCCAACTTTGATTGTAATGTTCGAGCATTCAGCTGGCCAGAGGTATAAGAATGGAAGTTGAACACTTTTAGAAGATAGTGCATTGCCAAACAAAGCAAATACCATTCCAGTGAGTCCTGGGAACACTAAGTTGCCACTATGTTGGAAAGAATGGCATTCTCCATTCATCCAAAGCCATCTCTGCATACTAGGATCCTTATCAGCTATAAAGAGACCAAAAGCTGTTGTTCCTCTTGTGTATCCAGTGGTTTTTTTGTGTCTCTTTAATCTCTAATCTCATGCCAAGGAAAATAGTTCCTTTGGTTGTAATTCCAAAAATCTACATTGTGCTGTAAAACACATGCCAGTTACCACCTCTGCATGCAGTCCAGAATGACTGTGCCTTTACAAGCACATTGGGATAGCTGTTCTCTTTTTTAAAATGTGTGGCCCAATTTTTCCCCTTTTAAATATTTGCCATTATCAGCTGTTCAGAAGGGGGAGCAAGAGTCCATTAAATGCACTGTTACAGAATAATTTGACTATGGAGAAAGCCTTCTGCTAAACAGCAGCTGACGGTGGGCCTGTCTTATGACCCAAATTGTGATTCTATGCATGCATTCATATTAGGGCTTCTTTTTCTGACCTATACAAACAACAAGGGGGGGGTGGATTGCACTAAGATGGTGTACTTTTTCTCAGAGTAATGGCAATTTGAATGCATAGTCTACATTAAAAGATCACCCTGGAATAATTCTGCGTCCTAGCATGCCTGGAAGCAAGATTTCCTCTATTCAAGCGGGAGCAACTAAACAGTATCAGCTTCCCCATCAGCCTCTCTCAATTGTTTTCTGAGAGATGACAAAATGATGCCCTAAGGTGGTTGGCTGAATTGTGTGGTTGCCAATCATTTCCTTGCAACAAAACACATCTGTGATACATGCCACACAGTGCCATATGGCTGTAAAAGCACACTGTAGCCCTTACCTAACTGGAGCACTCCACATCATTTGTGGCATGTTACATGTTATTCTGCAGTCATTGCATCATCTAAATCAGGCCAGTCTCTACACAAATATGACATACTTGTGACTTGTATTCTGACCTACAACAACCCTATGAATTTGTGGCCTCAAAAAGATCCTTTTAATAGCCCTTTTCAGGTCTTGCAGACTGAACACCGTAGGTTCCTTCTGCTGAGTTATATTCCTCTTTTCTTGCTGCCTTGAGCTTTTCCCAGTATTCTTGTCTTTTCCAGGTAGGCTTGTCTTTTCATGATATATCCAAAGGATGATACCCTTATCTTAGTCAATTTTGCTACTAGTTCAGGCTTGATTTGATCCAGAGCCCACTTATTTGTCTTTCTGCCATTCAATGGTGTTCAGAAAACTTTCCTCCCACACCCATTCGATGGTGTTCAGAAAACTTTCCTCCCACACTGCATTTCAAATGTGTTGATTTTCCCCCTCACTTTCCTTTTTTCACTAGCATGCTTCCCCACCCATCCATATGAGACACAAGTATAATTTTAAGATTATGAATCAAGATGGGCATAGATTTAAAAATGAACTGGAAAATTATTCAAAAAAATTTTCTAATTTGTTGATTCATTTTCATCTAAATCAATGCCTTCAACAAATATGGATCAACAATTTTTTTGTGATTTATCAACTTGTTGGGCTATTTCATCTAAATCGATGCCTTCAACAAATATGGATCAATAATTTTTTGTGATTTATCAACTTGTTGGGCTATGATACACCCTGTCCCAGACACCTAGGGACACCACAATCGCATAGAAGCTTCCCCTGATCTTCTCTACAAGTTCTGCAAGTTTGGTGAAGATTGGGTTTCAGGTGTTCAAGTTATAGGCCCACAGAGAGTCCCCTTCAGGAAAGTTCTCCACAGATGCCTAGAGACAACAAAACTACAGAGAAGCTTCTTCTGACCCTCCTCTACAATTCCTACAAGTTTGGTGAAGAATGGATTTTTCCAAGCCAGCTGCTAAAGTGCACTTTCCCGCGGTCACTCACTTTATGGGTGTATAGCCTGGAAGCCTGAAACCCAATCTTCACCAAACTGGGAGAGATTGTAGAGGAGAGTTAGAGAAAGCTTCTCTGCGATTTTGTTGTCCCTAGGTACCTGTGAAGAACTTTCCTGGGGGGTGTATATAACTTGGATGTCTGAAATCCAGATTTCACCAGACTTGCAGGGGCTTGTAGAGGAGAGTCAGAGGAAGCTTCTCTGCTGTCTCTAGGTGCTTGGGGGAAGCGTTTTAATGTTTCTAAAGGTAAAATGAATTGGCAAATCAATTTGCTGATCCATCAGAGAAAAATCATAAATTTGTGATTTGTGATTCGTTGACCTTGACGAATCATGAATCACAATTTTTCTGATTCATGCCCATCTCTAATTATAAATCATTCTCTACTTTACACCATCACTTAATCCCAGTGGCAGCTAATGCATTAAGTGGGGCACCATTCCCAGCCTGGTAGTTGGAAAGGTGATGAAGGCCACCTCTTTGTGCCCATCAGTTGAGGCTTTAAGGAACTGGGCACATCAGCTTTTCCCAATATGTTGCTTTTCAGATCTTCTGCAATTACCACTCATACATTCCATGTAAAATGGTCCATGGGAGAGATGGGAGGAGAAGTCACTCTAGGGTGGTATATGTGATGTACACTATTCTTCACTCTCTTCCTCCATGAGGTGGTGGATCAGGCTGAAAAGGAACAACTTGTTCAAAGTTACTCAGTAAATCAAATACAGATATCAGTCTTGGTCACTCCAGTCTAAATCCATCTAAGCATGATCTGCACCAAGGTGGGCAGTTTCTAGAGGTCCAGGAACCATGACTACCCATGCCACCAATTTTCCCGTTAATTTTCAGCCCCACTGGGCAGTGCTCCACATCTCTCGTGTGTGACTCCAGCCCCGATGCAGGAACCGGAGGGGCTGGAAATGCTCGCTTTGAGTGTACAGAAGAGGGGGAGAGATGCGTGGAGGGATGTAGTGTGTACGCACACAGCCATGCACCTTAGAGGGAACTTTACAAAAATACTGAGAAAGTCCACCTGTGTCTTCTAGTGGCAAAAAATGAGTGAGGGCAGAATATTGGGGTTAGAATTGTCTCCCATGACCCTTTGAGGGACTTTTTAGCACACATATATGTATGTGTAGTTACTTTTTAAAGGGAATGTGTGGGTAGTAAGTTGCATGTTCAGGCTACGTGGCAGCCATGGGTTTGCCCACCCCTTGCTCTACACTCTGCTGGCTTTCCTTCATTTATATTTGCTACCGTATCCTCATTAGTGTTCAGCCCTGTGGTCCTTCAAACTTATCTGACAGGACTTGGCACATGTGTTGAATACATGAACATCTGTGAATTCCGTATGTATTGATTCTGGTTTCTCAAGGCTTAATTTTGCACTTCTACAAAGAACAAAATGGAACATAGTTTTATATTGAGGTTTGGGACCTCAATATTTGGCAGAAAGTGAGTCTTATGGTGCAAAAAATACAGTATATTTGCTACCGTATCCTCATTAGTGTTCAGCCCTGTGGTCCTTCAAACTTATCTGACAGGACTTGGCAAATGTGTTGAATACATTAACATCTGTGAATTCCATATGTATTGATTCTAATTTCTTAAGGCTTAATTTTGCACTTCTACGAAGAACAAAATGGAACATAGTCTTATTTATTATATTTTTATCATTTCCTTCCTCCAAAGAAACCTGGAAAATTTATGTTGTGCATTTTCTCGTAATGGCAACCCCATGACGTAGGTTAGTTGAGGGGCAGTAATGGCTAAGAGTCATACAGTGAACCTCTTGGGGAGTTAAACCTAGCTATCCCAACCTTTGTAACCACTCCACTGCATTGACTCTGTGCTTGATTTATCCAAATAATGGGTTCTTTCTTTCATGTAACTGTGTTCCTAATGGCAAAATGGTGCTCATTTCCCTTTCTTCTCCATTTGTTGCGGGACAGGAAAGAGGAAGAACCAAGAGCCATCGTTACTGGCCAAAACTTGGTTCAAAGCACAGCTCAGCCACTTACGGGAAGTTCAAAGTGACCACCAAATTCCGCACCGATTCTGGCTGCTATGCCACAACAGGTCTGAAGGTCAAGCATCTTTTGTTAGGACAGGAGAAGACCGTGTGGCATTTGCAATACACCGATTGGCCGGATCATGGTTGTCCAGAAGAACAAGGTTTCCTCTGTAAGATTTGTTTACACATTAATGTGAAGATGGTTGAAAAAAATGGGTTACCTTTTGGCTTTCCAGTGAGATTAATATTGGATTTGCCCCTTCTGGCTTTCCAGTGAGATTAATATTGGATTTTCTTAATGATACTATTTGTTTCAACGTGCCATTGCATATAGGCCTTGTATAGGAGTTACCGTATAGTGGTTTGCTGTGGTTTTGTTCAGCTTCTCTTGGCTCCACACCAGCCTATATGGAAACCATGCTATGTAGCAGAGGATTGGAGTTCCCCAAGTCTGATTTTGTTCCTTCCTTGTGGAACTGCCAGACTTTCAAGAAGATTCATACCTGAAGGCATAGGCAATGTGAAAAGAATGAGGCTGAATTTTGGGCAAGAAAATTTCCTAGAAAGTTACTTTACTGAATGAGAATTAAAATATCAGCCCATCATCCACGGCTCAAAGTGGCTTTTCAAGAAAACTGTTAGCTGGCCAGACATCATTCAGTGATTGATGATCTTTGAAGACAGGATGTTTCTCAGTGACTAAATAATGTGTTGTCTTCAAGGTCATCAGGAAATGTAGATGGAAATTTTCTCTAGAGACCTGTCCCCATCCATAGCAAACAAGAGTAAGACAGACAGCTTTGTATGTCTAAATCCATAAAATAAATACTCAGGTCACACAGATTCCACATTAGAATGAGATAATTCCACATTCAAGCATTCAGTTTTCGGAATGCTTAGGACCCTAATTTTCTGATACTCTGTATCATACAGAGAAATAAAAACCACCTGGCAATAAAGAGTGACCAGTGGGAGATTATGTACCTCCCTGTATATTATTCCCTGAATGTCAGGAATGCGACTAAAGAATCTGCTGGCATTTTGAAGATCAGATGTTAGGAATCCACAGAGTTTTAAAAGTTCATGGAAGACTGTAGTATCCAAAGACATGGACCCAGTTCACAAGGAATTGTGGCTCATTCTGCAAGGGAGAGCAAGGGAGGGGCAGGTAGATGCTCCCTTCCCATTAGTGTCTAGCTCTGAGGCATTTGTTTCAAGGGGACCTTGCCGATGTTCTGATCCCAGCCTGCTAATAGAAGGAATTGCTGTAAGTAATGTCTACAGTCGTCTGCTTTAGGGACTTGGGGATTTGCTGAGGGGGAGAGAATGGGTCTGTATGAGTTCATGTGCATGTGTTTTAAAAAGAGCTGTTTAATTTAAAGGACTGAAGTCCCAAGTAGTAATTGACACCCTGCTGGTATTTGCTGGATTCAATGCCGTTTTCTGTCCAGAGGCCAAATAATTAGTGTCTTCTAAGAACTGTAAATTATCATAATAGAAATGTACTTTTCCAAGCACTTGTCACCGTTTATGCAAATCTCCAGCGGTTTGGAGTGGGGGAATATAATTTTCATTTTATTCCCATTTTGCAGCTTATTTGGAAGAGATCCAGTCTGTGCGCCGCCACACCAACAGCGTTCTGGACAGCAGCAACAACTGCAACCCTCCGGTCGTCGTCCACTGCAGCGCTGGCGTAGGGAGAACCGGTGTGGTGATTTTGACCGAACTCATGATTGGCTGCTTGGAACACAACGAAGTAAGTAAATGTGTCTCTCTGGAGATGCTCCTCCCCTGCCCCAATAATGGTAAGGTAATTACAAATTCCAGAATCCCTGTTACAGAGTTTAAACTTGAAAGGGGGTCCAAAATCTTGGTATACCACATCAGGAAAAGTTTTCTTCTTGATAGAAAATTTACATGCATGCGTAATGGTACACACCAGCACTGAGTAAATATGGAGCCAAACTTATTTATTTATTTTATTTATTAGTTATATTTCTGTCCCACCTTCCCTCCAGTGAGCTTAAGGGGGCACCCAAAGGTGACTTTAATGGCCCAGTGTGAACTAAAATCTGGATCTCCTGAGACCCAGTCCAGCACTCTTAGTCACTCATCCATACTTGGTCTCCTGATGGTGGATTGCGGAAAGTAATCTATGTCAACTGCTCACAAAGCTTAAAATGAGCAAATGGCAATCATCTTAAAACTGCAGAACTGGAAGGGACCCTGTGGATCATTGAGTCCAGCCCCTGTCAAGGAGGTACACTGGAGAATCAAACTCCCCACCTCTGGCTCCGCAGCCAGAGACCTAAACCACTGAATTCTCCAGCAGTTCTGATCATGTACAACAGCCGTAATCCAAGACAATACAGTCATGCTAGCTGTAGATTGCTCGCAAGCAGAGCAGCCTTCTTGCCCAGTACTCTTGCCCTGCTCTCCACATCCAATTCAGTCTACAAGCTGTCCAACTATGCTATACTGTGTAACATCTGCAGTGGATCAGGAAGAAATAATCTATATTCAAGCCTAAATGGGCAGAATCAAACCTTAGTTGTAATTGCGCAGTTTTGTGCTTTGAAAGTCCATTTGGTGAATGTTTCAGATCAGCATGTTGAGTATCCTACTCAGGAGGTAGGCAGCGGCAGTTTTGTGCTTTGAAAGTCCATTTGTTTCAGATCAGCAAGTTGAGTATCCTACTCAGGAGGTAGGCAGCCTGGTGCCTTCCAGATTTTTTGGACTTGATTCTCTTGGAACCCATCCAATACATACGTACACAAACACAGTATGGACTCAGCACAGACTCTTCATAATTGAAGGAAATCCTCACAAGCTTATGTAAAATAAACCTTGCTGTAAGGTGCCATAAAACTCTTCAAGGACAGAAATATTTGGAACTTCTGCTTTTCATTCGCTTTGGCCATTCACAGCCAAACTTAATGGCATCCATTATTCCTGTGAGAATTCTGTCCTGCATGTTTATTTTGCCAAAGGGAAGCATGATTTAGTCACAGATGATGGTGTGTGTTTTGTTTATTTGTTTGTTTTTGTGGATTCTGTATGTTAAGAGGTAGAGGGAAAAGAGCAGAAGGGCTTCAGGGAGGAGTGGAAGGTCACATTTTGGGGTTAAGGCAAAGAGTTGGAGAAAAGTAATTCCCGAAGAGATACTCAACACACCTTAAACTGTCAAGACTAGAAGTGTTTCCAGCTCACTCGTAGATTGTAAATCTTCTCAGCAAACTTTGCCAAGTTTATTCATAAGAACTCTTTTTGCATGATAACGTACATTGCAGTGCACTGCATAATCATATTATCTTTCTCTACAAAAATAAAATACAGTGGTGCCCCGCTTAACGAGCGCACCGTATAACGACGAATCCGCATAGCGATCCTGTTTTCGGGATCGCTAATGCGGAGGCATAGCGTCAGCCCCGATGGGCAAAACTCGCATAGCGAAGATCGGTAAGCGTTTCGCTTACCGATCTCCGCTTTGCGACGCCCGCAGATCAGCTGTTCAGCGGTTTCAAAATGGCCACCAGACGCCCAAAATGGCCGTGCGCAGCGTTTTCGCGCCCTCCCCTCATTTACCGAGGGCGCGAGAATGGCTGCTGGACACTGGAAACTTCGCTGAACGGTGAGTTTTGTGCTCATTTGGAACGCATTGAACCAATGGGCTTCCCCGTTCCGTTTAGCGAAGTTTTCACATAGCGAAGGTTAATCCGGAACGGATTAACCTCACTATGCGGGGCACCAGTGTAAAATAAAATATAAAGATCTGTTCAAAAAACATTCTTATGTTACATTATAGCAGTCAGCACAACAGACAGTAAGACTGTAACAGATATCACGTATGCAACTTGATGTTGGCCAAAATCCCGTTGCTTAGTGTAGTAAATTTCGCTGGAGAAAATACATTGAGTCACTGAGTGGTGAATCAATTCCTTCAAAAGTTTAATTGACTTAGTGGGCCTACTCTAATGTGATTTACTACACTAAACCAGTGGTTCTTAACCTTGGGTAATCCAGGTGTTCTTGGACTGCAATTCCCAGAAGCCTTCACCACCAGCTATGCTGGTTGGGGCTTCTGTAACTTGCAGTCCAAGAACACCTGGGTTACCCAAGGTTAAGAACGACGGCACTAAACAACGTGATTTTGGCCATTGCTTTGTCATATATTATTGCAAAGTATTTAAGATTCCAAAATCTTAAATATTGTGAATACTGTATTGGATCTTTTTTTTTTTGGACGTTTTGGCTGTATGCTGTGTCTGTTCACCAAAGTAATTTATCAGCTGAACAGTTCTGCACCATTTTATCAACTGACAATGATTCCAGTCTTATATATCTGTCTGTGTTCACTCGTAACAGCCAAATGAAATCCATGTCTTGCATGTTAGTCCAACTTTTTAAACAAAGCAGCCACTTCATATTTTAAGAAAATATGAAATGGTTCAGTGGACCCAAATATGAAGCTATTCCATAGAATATTTACAGTCATAGGAATGGAGTAACATTTCTAAGTTATTAACTTTGGATACTGGCAAATTTGTGTTTTTAAAAATGAAAACTGAAATACTTAGGCGGTAACACTGTACACACTTCTTTGAAAACAATGCTCCTTGGATTTACTAAATCATCTAGGTAGAATAGATTATGATAAGGTTTCAGTTTTATGAGAGATAAAAGATAGCAATAGTGCAGTAAATTTTCATTGGGGATTGCAAGTACTGTATTGTAGTCCAACAAAGTAACTTTTCAAAATTTCACAAGCAACGCTGTTACATTCTTAGGGGTTCTCAATAATATAAGATTTTTACACATTCCTTTTACAAGTAGCATATTTTCAAATTGTCTTGCAATTCTCTCGGTAGATTTTACTCTCTAATTTAAAGCAGCACGTTTGTAACGAATGACATTGCTTTGGGTGCTACTTGCTTTCTGAACAGGAGTGATGTTTTCTCTGGTCCCCAAAACACAAAGAAACTTTTCCAAGCGTGAAGTCTTTGACTAAGGGAATCAGAGAAAGATTGATAAGTTTTGAAACATGTCATGGCAATGCTAAATGCAAATGAAGATTTGCATTTAGATGCTTCTGATATGATATGCTGTCTCGGTGTATTTGTCCCAGACCTCTAGACAGTGTAGAGCATGGGTCTCAAACATGTGGCCCGGGGGCTATTGGCAGCCCGCCGGATGATAGTTTGTGGCCCCCGCCTTGCCTGCCCCCCCTGAAGTGCCAACTGCGTCCTCTCCTGTCAAAAGTCAAAAAAAGCCTCACCTCGCTTGCTGGCTGTCACCTCTTGGGTTGCCGGGAGCAAGCTCCACTCTCAGGCACCTGTGGGGGCCCCATCCCATTCTGTTTAATTACACGGGCACTGATGGGAACATTTCTCCTTTGGCAAGGTGATTCTGTGAGGGTTTTTAAAAAAAAATGTCGTGCCCTCCCCCCCCCGGCTAGTCGGTCCCCGGCGCTCCCTCCCTTCTCCCGTTCTTTGTCCTGCTGCTGCTGGTGGTGGTAGTGAAGGGGGTCGTGGCCAGCAACAAGGGCTCACGCGCCCCTCCTCCTCCTCCTTGGAACGGCTTTCTCGGGCTCTTGCTCTGTTTGGCGGAATATCTGATGCAGCCCAGCCTCATCCAGACTCTGCCTCCAGCGGCCCTCCGGTAAATTGAGTTTGAGACCCCTGATGTAGAGGGTTGGTTGGAAAACAAGGGTATAGCAACTGATTAGTGTTGCACTTGTAGTTAAAAAAAAAAGGAGGGGGAAAACCATGTCAGATGTTGAGCTATTTAAAGTTGGGCTGGGCTCAGCGAGTCCAAACTAGCCTGCATTTTTTCCCCTGCTTAGACAGAGCCATGTTCTGACTGGCTTAGCAAAGCAATTAGGTCATGAGTTGATGATGAGATTGTACACAGACACATTCTTTGGTGAAGTACAAAAGCATAGCAGCATTTAGAAGGAAAAACAAGCATTCTCCGCTGCCTATGCTTGAATTGAGGGTAGAGCAGCCCTGTATCTCAGATGCATTGTTCCATGAAGGAACCTGTTGGGGGGGCTGGGGTAAGAGAGAGAGAGAGAGAGAAAGAGAGAGCTTTCCCTGGCCCTATTCTGGCTTTGCATTCTGGGTAGAACAGAAGCATGTACCTGCAACTGCCCTTCTGAGATTGGGGAGGAAAAGAAACAATTCAGGCCTTTACAAACATATTAAATAGGATCCTAGCTCCGTGCTAGAGCACATGCTTTCCATGTGCAAGGCCCCTGGTGCCATCCTTGAATCTGCAGACCATGGGGAGAAAAATTCTTCATGAGATCCTGAAGAACCAGCATCTGGCTGTAAACTTGCTGCCCCATCGTGGTGGCTGCCAATGTAGTTGGCCTCAGAGAGCGATTTTTAGTTGAATTCCTGGACGGCAGGGCTGTCGGTGGCAGTGTGCCTCTCAGCACCAGTTGCCAAGGAACACAAGTGGGATGGTTTGCCTGTACTGCCCAGTGTGGGAGGGGGTTGTGTGAGAAACTGAGATTAGTAGTTTCAGAGTTTAGTGGTTTCAGAGACTCTTGTCAGAATGTAGCCATCCCTGTGGTATGGGACATGACTAGTTAGGAGACTTCTGTGCCAGCCAGCCACTCGGTCTCAACAGTAAAAGAAACATAATGGTCTTGCCACAGTGGTGCAGCCTGTGTGAAAAAGATTTTCAGGAATGGAACGATGTCGGGATTGTTGTAGATTAATATATTCAGGTGATGGAGACAAGCAAGGTAATTTTAGAGGGTAAATGCTGCCTGATTCTAAAGACGTTAATCACATAACTTTTCCAGTCAAAGGTGAGGGATAAGTTGAAGAAGATTCCTTGGAAATAAAAGTGGGACTGTGAGGAAAACATGAGCAGTTCAGAAAGGAGCAAAATGTGTAGCACTAGAGCGGCATCAAAGGCAGAAGCAGTTTGGCCGGCTGGTAGAGAGATTTACAAGTCCCCTGGTGACCCAGTCAGTGGGAAAAGACTGTGGAGTCATTGTCACAGTATGAACAAATCTCCACATTGTCTGGTATCTGGATTGCAGCCTGGAATAAGAAACTGGCTGTTGTTCAGTGGCAGATGTGCTTTGATTTCCCAACTTCTCTTCTAACAAGTCATTATATTATTTCTGTTCTCCTTTTCTCACATAAAAGTGATAATAAATGCTTTTACTGGCTACCAGATTTGCAATTTCTCCTGTTCTTTGTTCATATTAAAAGTCTCTTTGTTTCTTGTAGCTTTGTGCATATTTCTTCATTGAGAGCTACAGAATAATTCTAATGCATAAATCCATTTTTCAGAGGTACCTTTATGTGAGTTTGTGGTATAGACCTTTTTTTTTTGCTTTTCATCTTCAGAATTTCATGATGATGTTTATTTGTTTGGAATATTTTATGCCATTTTTGGACCTTGAAGGATTTGTTTGGCAGATGTTACCAGCAGTTTCTGGCTCTTTTAGGACTCGCTGGAGGAGATGGCTAGGGAAACAGTAGGCTGGGATGAGAAATATGTTGGTTTTGCTTGTGTATACAAAGTATAATAATAAAATAATTGTGTGCCATCGATTCCAGCTTCTGGCAGCCCTTTGTGAATATCTACGCGCAATATATCCCACATTCATAAACTGGAGGTTTTTTAAACAATTGAATAATATCTGTCTACAGTGCTCAGCTATGGCAATTTGAAACAACTTCATCTGCTGTGGTTCTTTCTTGCAGAACCCTGGGATTTATAGTTTGACAATGTACATAGAATTCTTTGCTAGAAAACTCTTGGGCACCCATTTGAACTGCAGCACTGAAGCTTTCTAGCACAGAATTCTACATGTCTCAAGAAACCACAAGCCCTAGGATTTCCAAGTATGAAATCATGGTGCTTCAATTGGTTTGTGACACTACTGTGTCGTATAGATTTATTCACAGACTGGAGTCCTACTGGTGTTTGGGGAAGATTTGCATAACTTGCTATGGCAAATTTCAACTAATTGATGACATGCTTCAATGCATATCAGTTATGCAATCTAGTGCATGACCAGCCATGTGACTGAGCCATGCCCAGTACCTCATCAATTAGCCATGACAAGTTACACAAACTTTATTTAAACATATTTTGTTGAACTTTCTTTATTTCGGTGTCTCACACAAAGTATTTACATGAATTTTCTTTTCGATTTTGTAGAGAGTGGATGTCCCAGTGATGCTGCAAAATCTAAGGGAGCAGAGGATGTTCATGGTCCAAACCATTGCGCAGTACAAATTTGTGTATCAGGTCCTCATCCTGTTCCTACAAAACTCCAGACTCATTTAACACCCCGAGAATCAGAAACTGTTCGCTCACAGACGTCTACAGTTTTCTTGGATATGGCTGAGCATCGCTCCCTTGATAACATCTAGTTTTACAGTATTGTGTGGAACATGATTAACATTGTCTTGACAGTAAGGAGACTTTGTTCTTCCTACAGATTATTTTATACAAGATAATTTATTGTTATTTTTTCCCTTTGGAATGATGTGTGAATTTTTGTAATTTGTAAAATGTTCTGATTTTGTAATAACAGAACCATATTTGACAAGACTGATCTTCATTGCAACCTCTTCTTAGCAGGGAATGGTTCCCATTTGACAAGGTTCTCTTGCACGCTCAGTCAGATGAAAGGCAGTTTGATTAGTTAGATTTTTCTTTTCTTTTTTTCCCCCAGAAAACAATATTTTGCAACCCACTTTTTCAGGCTTTGGTGCCTTGAGTGAAAAAAGTTGTTTGTCCAGATCTGAAAGCAAATCCGTTTCTCTTAAAAATAGTTTTAATCAGATATACAATATAAGGAAATGCCTTATATTAATTTAGATCACTAGTCCGTGTATCCCCCCCACTGTCTTCTCTGAGAAACAGCAGTTTTCCAAGGCAGTACTGCCTGAGATCCTTTTAATTGGAAAAGCCAGAGTTTCAAAAAGTTACTTGGACTATAACTCAGAACTCCTAGCCTTTCAGATTCTGGAAGGTAAAGGTTCCCCTTGACAATTTTTGTCCAGCCGTGTTCGACTCTAGGGGGCGGTGCTCATCCCCGTTTCCAAGCCATAGAGCCAGCGTTTTTGTCCGAAGACAATCTTCCATGGTCACATGGCCAGTGCGACTTAGACACGGAACGCTGTTTACCTTCCCACCGAGGTGGTCCCTATTTATCTACTCACATTTGCATGCTTTCGAACTGCTAGGTTGGCGGGAGCTGGGACAAGCGACGGGCCCTCACTCGGTCACGTGGATTTGATCTAACAACTGCTGGTCTTCTGACCCTGAAGCACAGGCTTCTGTGGTTTAGCCCACAGCACCACCACATCCCTACTAGATTCTGGAAACTTTAGTACAAAAAAGTAACGTTTCCAAGTTCATGGAGTATCTTTGGGCACAAAGAAACTTGGCTGGCAAACTATATCTCACCTGCCATTGTCTAGTGCTTTTATATTAATCTGTTGGTGCTCTTTTGACTGAGACACTAGACACTTGTTCTTAGTATAAGATACAATTGGGATGCAGCTGGACCATTCTAAAGGACACTTGGTTATAATAAAAAAGAGGCATGAATCCTGATTTTCTTAAAGCTGGCGTTGCTGCATCAATTGATTAATTGATTGCCTCTTGTTTAAATCTTGTGCAGACATAAAAGGAGCAATCACATATGTAAGAATATAAGAAGAGCTATACTGGACCGACTAGAGGCCTATCTAATCCAACCATTTGTTCACAGAGGGGGGGAAGGGATATCTTTTGTTCCTGAGCAACTAATATACCTCACTACACTGCCGCTGATATTGGAAATGATATATAGCCATCCTGATTGGTAACCTGGATTGCCCAGTCCTCTTTGAATTGCCCCCTCCCTTTCTAAGTTCATCCTTTTCGCCAGCCATTGCTACATCTGGTAGTACTGGACTCCATCATCCACTCAGAGGGGACATTTAGCACCCCAAGCTAAAATGTTCCAGAATTCATACAGAATTAGGTTTGCAAGTCAGATACGTTGTGACTGACTCAAAGAATCATAGAATACTGGAGTTGGAAGGGGCCTCTGAAGCATCCTGTCCAACCCGTACTCAGTGCAGGAATCCAAATCAACATATATCATCTCACAGATGGTTGTCTAATTTTCACCACCTCCTGATCTAATTGGTTTCATTGTTGTAATCCTCTAACAGTAACAAAGTTTTTCCTGGTATTCAACTGAAATCTGGATTCTTGTAACTTAAGCCCATTATTACGTTTTCTGCATCCTAGGGGGATCCTGGCTCTCCTCTGTATGACTACCTTCCAAGTGTTTTTATTCCCTGGGAGGATCCTGGCTCTCCTCTGTATAACTACCTTCCAAGTGTTTAAAGAGTGCGATCATATCAGTCTTTTTTCCCCCAAGGCTAAACGCATTCAGTTCTTTCAGTCTTTTCTCATATGGTTTGGTTTTTAGATTTCTCATCATCCTCATTACCCTCCTCTGAAGTTGTTCCCATTTGTCTGAATTCATCTTACAGTGTGGTATCCATAACTGAAGAATGGTGCACAGTGTCCCTGAATTTCAACCACTTGCCATGTGCTGTTTTTGTGTTTAAAGAGACAATGAACAGATAGGAGATAAATTACCCAAACAAATCCACCACTTTTTGCAGCTGAGGCTCCTCTTTTTTTGTCCTACCCAATGTAACGCATTGAGATGAAAAAATGGCCCAAGTCATTTTTCCATGAACCATGATAACAAGCAGAAGTAATATATCCTGGTTGACAGTCAGCAGGCGCCATAGAGGAAGACATTGGGATTCACTGTGGTTTTAGGAAATACAAGATGTGTAAATTCAACTCTCACTATGGTTTATCTCTCTTCATATTCTGTACTGTGTATATTTTAGACTTCTCTATCATATCTTCCTTTACTTTATTCTGTGCAAATCAAACCCATGCATTACAACTTTTTCTGATAGGGGAATTGCTTTAGTTCCTTCATCATTTTGTTGCCTTTTCCTGCCCTTTTTGTATGTTTGTATAATTTCATGTGTGTGCGTTTATTGTATGCTGAAATGTAACATATTTTTCCTCTATAGACACTTTCCTGGGTGACACTTCAGTCCTGAATACATTTTCCAGGATTTCCATTGATCACAGAGGAGTTACCTCTGAATCAGCTGACGTAGAGTTGTCTTGTAAAACGCGATGATGTAACAATGGTAACTGAGAAAACAGTTAAACTTGGTATCCTAATTTGAAAAGCATAACCACACCTAGCTAAAGAGGTTTCAAGCACCCCCAATGAGAGGGCGAAAGAAAATGTAGGGAAACTTAGCAGTGAGGCTTCTTCAGAGCTTCTATTCCTTCTTTAGTTAACTGCCGTTTTCAGTCCAGCGTTCTTGTCGATGCCAACATATCTCTTGTTAAATTAGCTGCAACCATTTAAAGTCTTTTAGTGGCATCTGCGTGATAATTGCACAGAGAGACGCTTCGTATCTGGGAAGCTGGCCAAGGAATAAACCTTGAAGCAAAGTGTATTAAATTAGTGATCTCATTATAGCTTTTTGAATAATTTCCTAATGATAAATTAAGTTTGAACCCAGAACTGTCAAGTCCCATTGCTCCATTTGGCCTGACAGGTAGAGAGGAAGACTGGGGAAAATAATAATCGGCTCCAAGGGCTGATTACAATGACATCCGAGTTGTAATGTGTATAGTCTTGGCATTTCTGGAAGTGTGCAAACAAAAAGAACTTATTTAACAAGCAGGCGTAATGGATGTTAAAAGGAAAAAGTCGAGGTTGCTGCCAGGCATTTTCTCACATTGTAACACATCTTGCACACCCGATTGCAAGGGAGAGCTTTCCGCAACAAGAAGACAATGCTCATGTCTGAGCCAAATTGTTGCTAGTGTAATTGGCAATTTTTTTCCTGCCATTCCTAAAGTGGGTGATGGTGTTCAAAGTGACTTTCCCTTTTTTGTAATTATTATGCAAACACATGTTGAATTAAATGTAATTTTCATGTGAGATTTGTCCTTGTGAAGCTCTGCTGACAACTAACTCCTGACAAGAGAGCCTTCCACGGCCTGTGATTTCTCTCTGCTTATTAGTAAGGACAGTGTCAGCATCACAAGATTTATTTATTTAGCTAAGATTTGCAAAATAGGAGACAACCTTTAAGACAGTGGTTGTAATGAAGTGTTTTATCAAGTCAAGAGTTCCTTTTAAGCATGCATCTGATGATGGGAAAATAGTGTTTCTGGTCAGTTTTTTTAATCAGTCCCATAGTAAATCAGTGTTTTAAGGATGCAACACTTTTGCCTACTGAGCTTCATGGTATAGTACTATAGAATAAAAATAATTGCATGCTGTCAAGTCAATTCCGACTTAAGGTTTTCTAGATAAAAAGTAATTAGAAGTGGTTTAGCATTCCCTTTTTCCAGGGAGTGCTCTGTGGCTAGCTGAAGGCTACACAAGCTGGCTCTTCTTCCAGGAGACAATGGGGAATCAAACTCCCACTCTGTGCCTCTGTAGCCAGTACCTAGCAGAGAGTTTGTACAGAGACTCTATCTTGCACATTTCCCTCCTCTAGTTCCCCTGCTGCTACCAACAATGAACTTTGGATCACCTTACTTGCTGAATAGTTGAACCTATGAGCTTTACTTTCTAGCATTTCATTTTTCATATTAATTTTGCAAAGTTTGATCAATTCTATTTGAAAATGGGTTGCACTGAAATTCTCGCAAGTCTCTATATCTGCTAGTTTCACCTTTTCTCCTATTCAGAGCTTGTTGTTGTTGTTTAGTCATTAAGTCGTGTCCACCTCTTTGTGACCCCATGAACCAGAGGACACCAGACCCTCCTGTCTTCCACTGCGTCCTGGCGTTGGGTCAAATTCATGTTGGTAGCTTCAGTGACACTGTCCAACCATCTCATCCTCTGTCATCCCCTTCTCGTCTTCCCTTCACACTTTCCCAACATCAGGGTCTTTTCCAGGGAGTCTTCTCTTCTCATGAGATGGCCAAAGTATTGGAGCCTCAGCTTCAGGATCTGTCCTTCCAGTGAGCACTCAGGGTTGATTTCCTTCAAAATAGATAGGTTTGTTCTCTTTGCAGTCCAGGGGACTCTCAAGAGTTCAGAGATTGTAAAAGTTGGTACAGTGGTGCCTCGCATAGCGACAATAATCGGTGCAGCAAAAATCGCTGCAAAGTGATTTTGTCGCTATGCGATATTAAAAAGCCCATAGGAATGCATTGAAACCCCTTCAGTGTGTTCCTATGAGCTTCAGACTCACCTTTAAGCGAAAATCCTCCATACGGCAGCCATTTTCGCTGCCCGGTAAACGAGGAATCCGTCCCAGAAAACAGCGGGTGGCCGTTGTTTTTTTTTAACCCGGTGGCCATTTTGGCACCACCAATGAGCTGTTAAAAAAATCATTGCTTTGCGATGATCGGTAAGCGAAACGGTACCGAGCATCGCAAAGCGATTTTTCCCCATAGGGAACATCACAAAGCGATCGCAAAAAGTTAATTGCTATGCGATTTCTTCGTTAAACGGGGCGCCGGTTAAGCGAGGCACCACTGTAAATTCTGAGAAAACCAGCCTTTTCATCCTTGCCTACTAGCGTACCCAGTGTTTCTCAATCTTGTCTAACTTGGGTTTTAATTTAAACTGTTACTAACTAGGGTCTAAATTCGATATGACATATGTACACACCACAACACTTCTTTATCATCCATTCTGCAGTCTAGGAGAGTAATCCAGTCTTGCATGAACTATTGGAACTGGGCTGGGATTATTCAATGGCCAATAAACCACTGCCATCTTATAGATGTTGACACTGTTACATGACAGTAGGGTTTTTTTAAGGGGAGAGGCAACATTGGGAAAGGAAAATTACCTTGCTTACACAGGATTATACTGTTAAGCAAGCATAGATCCAGTCTCAGATATATCCCCAGAATTCTACATACAAAGGTTATGTTTATTTTAATCTAGTTATATTAAAACACAGTCTTTGGTGAGGTACGGTGTCAGACGCCTTCTGATATACAGTATCCACT